GAAAGCCGAGCAGCGTCGTACGGTACTCTCGAAGTAACTCTACGATAGGGAGCAGTTCTAACTCCATTGTCGTATAGCTGAGTTGATGCTTACTCAACGTCCTGGAGTAGCAAGCAAGGATATTTGTCTCTTGCATGACTAGGCCTCCGATCTGGGTGCCGCTCGTGTCAGCATGCAGCTCGAATGGCTTGTCGAAGTCCGAAAACAACAGCAGCACAGCCTCAGCGAAGGCTCTCTGGATGGCTCGAGAGGCTTCGGTGTCACTGGATAGTCACGTGAAAGGCACTTTACTGCTCGTAAATCTGTGCAGCGGCTTGCACAACTTGGTCTTGTTGGGGACCATGTCCCTGTAGTAGTTGATCACGCCCAAGAAGCGTCGAAGCTTCTTTCGGTTCCTTGGCACTGCTATCTGCTGGATAGCCTGAATCGTTTTGGCCTGGGGCTTGATGCCTTCAGCAGAAAGCGTGTAGCCCAGGTAGTCGACTTCTTCACATAGAATATGGCACTTCTTTCCGTCAAGTGTGACATCGTACCTGGCGAGGCGCTCAAACAGTGCTCAAGGTGCTCAGTTTTGTCCTTTGAGAAAACCAGAATATCTTCTAAGTACACGCCTGCAAACTCCTAGTCGCCAACGATCTGCTCCATACAAGTCTGGTACTCATCCGGGGCGGTAGCAATGCCCATCGGGAGTCGCTTGTACTGGAGCTTGCCGAACGGCAAGCAGAGCGCCGTCAGTGTGTGACTCTTTCGTGTGAGCCTCCGAGCGTAATAGCCCAGGTTAGCATCGAACGTCGAAATGCACTTTGCCTTTGCCAGTCGCATCAGCATTTCACGGATGTGTGGCACGTAGTAGGGGCTTCGGCGTAAGTACTTGCTCAACCATCTGTAGTCGATCAGTAGCCGAAGTGAACCCCACGTGTCCCGACACTTCTCGCCCCACGGATGCTGGCGGCTCCACCCTTGGTGGGGGAGGATCTCCTTCAGTCGACATGGATGCTAAAGCTGCGGTCAGTCCTGCAGACAACGAGTCCGTGTCGTGGTCCCCACCGGTATGTGAAACGGTTTTCAGCTCGCACCAGTAACCTAGCCGGTGTCAACAGGCCTGTCGGCGCATTCAAATTCAGAGTTATCTTCGGGTGTAGCCAGTTTGAGCGCCTTGACCCGCTCCCCGTCCAAGAAGATCATCGAGCCTCCTCGACGCACCACATCTCCGAAAACGAGATGGACATCGCAGAACTTGATCGGTCGTTGCAGCAAGGCTCGCGAGCAAGGAGTTACCACGGCAAATTATACAGTGAAACCTTCGGTGCTTCCAGCCGATCACTCGGCAGTTGCGGAATTCGTCATGCAGAGACAAATCCATCTCAAGATTCGTCCGCGACGCAGTAGACAAGCAAAAGAAACAAGCAGATAAGCACGGTTGAAAGAACGTGAGTATATTTAAGATAGGAGACCGCGTTCTCCTATCGACCGAGGGAATCCGCGCTTCTGCCGTAACAAACCTGGGCGTCAACAAACATGCTCCACGCTTCATCGACCCCTTTCGAGTAACAAAGGTTGTGGGTGACGCCTACGCTCTGGACATCCCGTCGTCATTTAGACTCCACCCGACCTTCTACGTCGGGCAACTCAAGCGGTATTTCCTTGCGACAATTCCTGACCCAAGCCAGCAGACGGAGCATGCGTCGGGCGACCAGTCCAACGAACCTTATACGCCAGAGACCCCTCAGTCCGCCAGGCACAATCTTCCGCCCGTTCAGCTCCAATCTGCGCGTCCAAGGCACGGTTCAAAGCAGTCTCCACCTCGCCCTGGACGTACAGGGCGTACGTCGTATCACCGTGAAGGCCCACCACCGATAATTGACTCGGTGGGTGGTGCGCGCTGAATTGTGGAGCGTATCGTTGGCCACGAAGATCCCACAATTCGGTTGCTCAACGTGACGTCCGCAGTCGTACTCTTTACGCGTCCTCGACCGCGCGCCGCTATCTTGTACGTTGGATCGGTTATCCTCCGGAGCATGATACGTGGGAGCTCCGCGCCAACCCCCTCCGCGACGTTCCGGATGTGGACCACGTCCGAGGGGAAGAATTACGCGGGTCACCCCGCAGAGACCGTGAACGAGATCGAGAGCGTCCACGCGGACGACCCGTACGAGGAGGCGACAGCGACGCTGTGCTCCGAGGCGTGCAACGTCGGCACGAGCCGCAGCCAGCACTGACACAACTTGTCAGTACAAGAATGAAAACACCAAACCACCGGCGATACCGAACCGGTGACCAGTGGGTTGCCTACCCAACACGCTACGACTGCGCCGAAATGACTGCGATTACCAGCGGCAACACGGTGGTCAATAAGTGTCTGTTTTCAATGACAGCGTGATGCTCACTTGGGCTGCTAAAGTGGTTGACTTCCGTCGACAAGTCCCATGTCTTCGAGATGTCCGAAGACGCTCCGCACTGGCAGCAAAACAACCTTCGCGTGTGCGTGAGTGGATTCGCCTGGTAGAAATCGAATTATGGCGTCCTGACCGGAAGCCACACGAGTGACCACTGCGTCACGAAGGCGGCTTCGTGAGGCTTTTCGTGTCCGTGATGCAAGTGCCTCAAGCGTGGAGTCTTCTAAAGTCGCATGTGCGCTGGCCGCTTCGTCGATGTGTGTCTTGGGATCCGGAAGGACTGTGCCGGTCCTCGCAGTATATTCAGAGCTCGTGGCGCCCCTGTCGATATTGGGCTTGCCCTTATTACCACCGCCAGCGTTGCGCTGGCGCCGCCGCTTTTCGCGCTGTTTCCGATGTCTCCGCCTCGTCGGTTTTCGAGTTTTCTTCAAATGTGATCCGTGCGCTTTTGTTGCGTAAGCGCAACTTAGAGACATAATGGGGTTACATAGTAGGTAGATATTTCTTGAGTTATTACATAAGTAGGCAAAGTGGCACACGGGTAGCGTGTGCCAAGGTGTCATTATCTGATTGGCTGATAGTGCGGATCCAGACTTACTTATTGACCAATCAGGTGTAGACATGTATGTGAGTGGTTCACACGAGGCCAGGAGTAATAAGGGCGTTGCGAGGCTACGACGGTTTGGTGCTGGGTTACGGAAAATGACTTGGATTCAGTAAGGGATGTGTTGCAGGGGCCGGAAAATAAAGTTGAAGTTTGGAGGCAGAGGCAGAGGTAGCCGCCCTGCTCCTTAATAAACTAGAGTGGAATTGACACAAACCTAAGACTTGTTTTATTATTGCGAGCTTTCTCTACACTATAGAGTAAGGTAGTGACGGTATCTATTACCCCGTTACAATAGACGGATAGGAATGATGCCTTATCGCACGAAAGCTTCTTTTTAAACCACCCTGTTTCCTTCGCTGCCATGGCTATCTCAAATGTAGCTGTAGCAAACGTCGACTTGCAAGAAGTCGATACTCGCTAGTCCGATGTACTCACCACGGCGGCTACACACACGCTAAATACTACTTTGCTAGAATTTCTTGCCCACCCAGCACATTTGTAGCACACGTGTGCTGAGATCAGACCACCAAAGTCTGGTGTTATGGAAAGCAAGTTCTGGAACAGCAACCATTCATTTTTGGTACATTGTATCATTTCTTATTAGCCAATCAGAGGGCGGTTCTGTTTTGTTTAAGAGCGTGTTTCAGCACTTCCCTAAATGGCACTTTGAATCAAATTGTTTTGCGTTAGTTAATTTTTTAAATAAATGTGGATTCACGAAAAGTAGAGTAATACCTGGATGGGACTAGGCTAAAATTTCAATTTCGATTCCTTGCAAAAATATTTTCAAAAGATGCTTTTATTTGCCATTTTCAAATAAAAAACGACGAAAATGGCGATTTTTAGCGTGATTTTTGCTATCTACAGTACTTGCAGGCTAAAAATGGATTAAATTAAGGTTGTTCATCGCAAGTACAACCTTTGATCTGAAAAAGAATGTGAGCTTCGATATAAACAAAAAAATTACTACACAATTTTACCAACCATCGTGCAAATGGCCCGTCCTTGTGCGATCTAATTTAAGGCTGTGTGGATTCACACCAATTTTTATTTTAGGCTACGGTATTTGGCGATTTGCATGAAAATGCGCTTTTGCATTTCTGCCCATCACACTTTTCAAGCCGGTTGCAAACCTGGTCAAATACATAGAGTCTACTTAAAAGTAATAGTCAAAACGGGTGTAAAATCAGCTATCAACCAATCAAAATCAACAGTAGAATTCATGTGTTCACACTAAATTAAGTGCACATTCTTTTTCTGGTACTTTAAAGAATAAATGGAGATACATGTACTACACCGTTCACTGCTCTTCAAAACTAGTCGCTTTCGGACATCTAGAAAAAATTTGCCAGCTCGATGCCTAGTAAGGCCAATTTGGAAATCGAGCTGGTAGTTTTCATGGACATTAGAAATACCGAAATTGTTGCCTCCAACCTTGAGTATTTGAAGCCAAGTTGCGAGCGAAAGGGTAGGTGTTTGTTACAGCAACACTTCAAACACTGCGACAGTTTATTTTCTATTTTAAAGTACGACGGTCTATTTATTAGTCCAGAACGGGCTTGGGTCTGGATGTGAACACGACGCGTGTGCGGGCGATTCCCACCACTTCGTACTTGGTCTGCCTAGTTGCATCGTTTCCCTCTTCTGTCATGACCACGTCTCCATCATTACCGCCGTCTTTCTGTAAAATTGCAAATGGCTTGGGCAGCTTGGCAAATTTTCCAGCTAGCACGTGGTTGCCAATACGCAGCGTAATTTCGCCACCTTGGCCATAGCGCAGTGTGCCCACGTCAAGTCCGCGTAGATCGGTCTTCTCGGCGCCGTCTCCCGGTATCAAATCGCCCTGAAACTCCAGCAAACTCCACTCTTTTGCCGCTGCGTCCACCACCACAGGCACGAGCATTTCTCTTTCTCACAATTGCCTAAAATGGCCCTGTGTATCGTACACAATGTTGTGTACGTCACAACTCTATCGGAGCCGCTCATTTTCCGGGGGTGACACTACAGGGTACATAGGATGCTCGCTCTCGTTCGCTCCAAGGGCCTAACGCGCGCGGCCATGGGCGTCCGCGCCGCTAGCACGGTGGGCGCTACCCTGGACGAGGCGGTGGCCCGTCTTCCACACAAGGAGGCGCTGCGTAGCGTTACCCAGGACATTCGCTGGAGCTTCAAGGAGCTCAACGCTTCGGTGGACGAGCTGGCCAACGGCTTCCTGGACCTGCAGTTCCAGCGTGGTGATGTGGTGGCCGTTTGGCTTCCCAACAGCGTCGAGAACGTGCTGACGCATCTGGCTGCAGCTCGCGCGGGTCTGACGCTGGCTGTGATTGAGCCCGAAGTGTCCAAGGCCGAGGAACTCGCCTTCATCCTGCAGGACAGCAAGGCCAGTGGCCTTGTGTTCGAGCCTAAGCAGGCAGGTCGCAACCAGACCGAGATCGTGCAGAACCTCTTCCCGGAGCTGGCTACCTGTGAGACTGCATGCGTTGAAGTCGTATACAACGATAGAGAGCTGACAGTCTGTGACATTTGATATTTTGTTAGTCCGCGAACGCATGGAGGTGTTCCGTCCCAAGAACTTCCGCCACCTGCACAGCGTCATCACTACGAGCTGGAAGCCGGTGGAGGGGATGGTCAACCTCAATGGAATGATGGTCAACAGCCCCGAGCCGTACGCCATGAAGGCCGTGACCAAGACGCTCAACGACAAGACGCCGCTTGCAGTCACGTATTCAAGTACGACATTTATAAAGTTACAGAGGCTATAGTAGATAACTGTTTTTTCCTGTCATGTTTAGAGGTGGAGGGACAGAATCCCAAGAAGAGCGCGGTGCTCACTCACGGTGATGTGCTGAAGCGCGCTGAGACGCTGGCCAAAAGGTGCGAAGTTGAAGCTGTTTATTTTTTTTTACCTTTATTTAAATTTTATTATCATAATACAGCCTGAACTTGACTGCGACGGACAAGATCCTACTGACTGGCGAGGAGACTGGTCTGTCTCTCGGCCCTCTCGCTGCTATCGGTCAGAGCGCGCAGGTTGTGCTGCCGTCGACGGAGTTCAACCACGAGGCTGTGCAGCAGGCCATGAAGGTGGAGAGCTGCAGTATTGTAGGCAGCGGACTTGACAACTTCAAGCGCGTGTAAATTCAAAGACGCTGCAAAGCGGCAGAACAGATACACAATTATCCACTGAGATGATGACAATGAACCAAAAACAGGAGTCAAGTAAGTGATTATTGTTCTCTTATGTTATTTTTTTTCTTACTACTATAGATTAAAAAAAATCAAGCCATGAGGATGCCACCAAGACCGAATGTGATGGTAGCAAGCAGCATGGAGCGCATAATTTCCAGTGACGTGTAGGGCGGTAGTTCGACCGAGAAGAAGCACGTGTGGGCCACGGGTAGACTACGTGTGGCATCGCGTCCTCCTTTCTTGGACAATTTGAACGGCTGCGGCCACTTGCCACGCGGTAGACGACTGCGACCCCATGCGAAGCGAACAAAGTCAGCCCGTTGCTCGTCTGAGAACTCAGCCAGCGCCTCCCAGAAGAGCTGCACCGTCAGATCGTCCTCAGCGTAGCCATCGTAGCGTGTGTGGCGTTTCCAGAGATCCAAGTCGATCTTCGGCGAGCCACACGCGAGGATCTCGAGCTCCTGCCATGTCAATAGAGTCAACACACGTCGAGGGAAGAGCGTGGCGAACCCTCGAGCCATCGCAGTCACCTGTGCACTACATTCGTCTAAACGCGCCCGTTCTGCTAGTCGACAATACTCCAAGCGGTTGTGGAACTCGACGGTGAGCTGGCGACCGCCTAGGACCAGCTCAATCTCCTCTCCAGTGCACGACGAGGCCGTGAAGCGCAGCTCGAGACCAGCGAAAGCCGTGGCGAACTCGTCTTCGGTTGAGATGCCATCGTTCTCGCAGTTGGCGATCCCGTCCAGCATCTGGATGAACATGGCGTCCGTGTCCTCGAGATCAGCGCGCGTGAGTGTCTGGCCCAGTAATTGCTTCCACACCAGAGACGGCAACATGAAGGGGAAGTCGCCGTGAGTACGCAGCGAGATGCCGAGTAGTTGGCCTACAAACGCGAACATCTGCATGGCCACTGGAGACGTGCACTTCGGGTTGGGCAGATACATTCCCCGGTTGTTGCCAGTGTCGTGCTGACCGTTAGGACACAAGACGAACAAGCTGAAGTATGGAGAGAACAAGTCGTCCACCATGGACGTGGCTCCTTCGCGGTACACTCCACCCCAGTCCACGCCTTCTTCGCCACGGAACTTGACGCTGAACAAGCGACCTTTGCTGTCGATTTGACGTCTCAGTAGTGCTGGGTCCACGGCGTGTAGTTGACGGAACGCCTGTGCGAAGAAACACTCGGACACAGACGGCTCCACCTCGCGGTCATCTCGTGACTCCAGCGCCTGCATCCGGTCCAAAGTGATACGTGCCGTCTGTTGCGAGCTGCCAGAAGTCTCTCCTGGGACGTTCGTGGCCTCCACTGCAGCCTCCACGAGCGCACCTTTGACGTCGAAGAAGACGCAGTGACTCAGTTGCCGCAGTCGGTATGCGATCGTCCAGGCGGACTTTGTATCGCGCAGGTCCAGCAGCGGTAAGCAGTGATGGAGACTCAAGTTCAGGTACTTGAGCAACGCAAACCGAAGCTGCAGTGACTCCAGTGACAGGGTCAGTAGCTGTGAGCATCTCAGGCCGTCTAGCGTTTTGTCCAGCTTGATATCTGCTGGTTGTAGGTCGACTGAATGCCTCGTAGTTGCTGGCGTGGTCGATGACAGCGACGCGCTAGGTTCCACGTGATTGTTCACCCAGTCCACAAGCTGCAAGTCCATGTCTTGAGTCCAGCCCTGCCCGTCATCACGGTTAGCTTGCATCGAGACCAGCTTCTCAAGAAGAAGATCCATGTCTTGTACTGTCGCGCGCGCTATCTGCTTCTCCTTGGGGATACCGAGAGCACTTATCGTTGCTGCAAAGCCGAAGTAATCGCCTGCATTTTCGTCCGCAGAGAACGTGTACTCGAGGTTGTTGCCGTCATGAGCGATGGGGCCTTCGGGCCAGCCACTCTCCCCCGCATAAGTCCGGTTACTACGGATTTCCTTTGAAGGTTCGCCACCATCTTCTCGGGGGATCAGCGTAAACGAAGCGAGTTCCAGTCGCGACATTGCTTGTCCTTGACCGGGAGCGAGAGAACAGCGAGAGTCGAACGTTAACCGAAGAGCTTGCGCGCCTTCAAACGCCACGAGGCCACTTAACGGCGTCCCAGCAGCATACGGATGCGAAGTCTCGATGACTGCCGACGATCCGTAGACTTCCAGCCAGATAGCAACCAATATATGTTGAGGAAGACGTGCGGTTTGGCCCAGCAAGAATCTCGTGAGCTCTGCCACGTCGTTGAGACTGTCACGCACACGTTTCCGCTCGAAAGGTACTGGCAAATCGAACGGGGTTGTTAGAATCGGAGACGCAGCACTTGCCCCATCAAGCTTGCACTTGAAGATCGTCGACGCTGACGATATCATCATAGAAAGCTCCACCAGCTGCAACATGTGAGCGGAGAGGAACACCTTGCCACTCGCTCGATCAACTTCTGCACGCGTCAAAGCCAGTCGAGAGATCGATTCCAACGCATTCAGTTCTGGAACTTCGTCTGCTGGGAACAGCTCGGGATTGTGCAGTAATTGCTGTAGTAAGCGCACCACTCGCCCTTTAAATGGAGCTCCAGGTGAGCGCAGATAACGCACAAGTGCGCCGTAGACTCGGCGGTTATGCACAGCTCCATGAGCGACGAGCTCGATCGCATCGTTAAGTAACAACTCCAATATCCAGCACGCCCACTCCAACGAAGGACTCGCCAACACCTCGGTCTCTTTCGTCCAGCGGATATTCGCCATCGGCTTGACTTGGAAGCGATATCCGTAGCCATGATCCTGCGTGGCGTTCTCTTCGGATGCCGAGAAGCGGAACCAGAACTGGTGCGAATGGATGATAAGGTCCGGAAGTAGGTGACCCGACGTCGTCATCGCGTTGTCCACGACACCGATACGATCTTCGCATTCCGGGTCCGCAAAGAATGTCAGCTTGGCTTTCGCTCCCAAGTGGCAGCGATGGTCGAACACGATACGTAAGCAGCGATACGAACTGTCGATGCTGACAGCGCGAGCGTATTCGCATCGACCAAAGTACGAGTGCAACGACTGGAACTCCTGCACTGCTGACGTCTCGGCGCCGTCTCCTGCCATCCGTGTAGACTCCACAAAGTGACTGACGCATTCCTTGACTAGCACACTGGACAGCAAGCCGTCGTGGTCATCCATCCCACCACCCAGATACGCACTTGCGACCTCTTGCGCTTCGGTATCTGAAGGCTGACGAGTTCTTCTCATGTGTCGGACAGATTCGTCGCTCTTCTCCTCTTCTAGATGCAATCCCTGGGCAGGACGTGGCTGCAGTTGTTCGGTGGACATAGCAATCGCTCGACTCAGATCCTCGTCATCGTCATCTTCGTCGTGCTCTGGAACGCCAGGGACAGAAGTAGGCAGTACGTGGTCACTGGATGGCACTCGGATAGGACGAGATCGAGCCACGTCAGACTTGTCAGCGCGTGCTTCCTCCCGGAGCATTCGCAACGTAATCGTCTGCAGACTCGTCAATAAAGACAGAGGTTGTTCGCTGGAGTCAGCCTTATCACTCCCACTCGCTGAAGTCCTCGCAGTCTTCGGTTCCACCTCCGTGTGCTGGGCAGCATTCATCTCCGATGCTGCCACCATCTTCAACAGGCTAACAAACTGGCGCGGACCTCCAACCACATTTAGAATGTCGCTTGAAAACGTGGAGGGCACTACCGGCGGCTTATCTTCGAGATCTTGCCCTGCTGGCACGTCGGATGTGGAGGTTCCAACCGAGTTAAAAGCGCAGAGTAGCGCTGTGACGGCGCGCCTGGCATAGTACGTGGAGAGCGCGTTTTCCGTCCTCAGTGCGACGCGATGAATGCTCTCTACACTCTCCAGTGGCTCATCGTAGATCCTCACGATACGGCGCAAGTCGCGTGGGAAATGCCACTCGTCTTCATACGCGCCAGACTCAGTGTTCAGAAACGTGATCAGCACGCCGTCGTCGGGGGAATAGCGTCGGTAAATTCCAGTTCGACCGCTAGTTGCTAGTCGCTGGACAGGTCCAACGTCGCTGGCCACCGTGAGAAGAACGTTCGGGGTCAAATACTCGGGATCCAGTGGCGAGAACGCAGTCAAACTCGCGTCACGTGCTGCTGTAGTAGAGCTGAGCTTGACTGGCCCGGGAGCCAAGATCGGAGCGAGCGTCACAGCCATCGCGTCGACATTGGGAGCGTAAGCCAACTCGGCGTTTCTCGTGGATGCAGCGGAGCCCAAAAACTCCGCCGCGATGGCGTCCTGACGACCAGAAGTAATCACCAGTGGGTCGGGTTGGTCGATTTCTTCCATAGCAGCGCGGTCTTCCAGGACAACCGTCCTAGCAGCCGAGAAAGAGTCCGTCAGCAGGTCAAGCGAGTCGAATTTCTCAGCGTAATTGCTGCCGTGCTCCATCAGCCACTCCATGGCGCGGTTCGGGTCACTATTCGACAGCTCCAGTGCACAAAAGGCAAGACAGTATGGCATCCCAGAGATATTCTGAAGCTCTGCCGCCTTCACTTCAAGTGTAAGCCCCGGCCCTCCTTCGCCTTCCGCTAACTCGTGCGCCGCAATACTAGCCTGCGCTAGACGCTGCGCTTCTTGCCGCTCCTGGTACGTGGCTGCTCCGTCGCCCATGAGCCATTCCACCGCCAAGTTCGGGTCGTCCCGAGAGTGTTCCAACGCTGCCATGCACAACTCAAACTCAAAGCCCATAGCAGCCAAAGTGGACGCGAACCCTCTGCGAACACGATGAGCTTCTGTTTCTTCTTCCGCGGGATCGTCATTAGCTTCCACTCCAGCGATAGTGGTCGACTCGGAGGCTGCAAATGCCGGCGCTGTCGGCTCCTTTAGGCCGTGAAACATGGCGCCTCCAAGTGGCGTAGAAGACTCGATCAATCGACACAGAATCATCCGACCTCTCTCCTGTAGCAAAGGCAAACTCACAAAGCTGTTGAGACTGATCGGAGTCAATGCAGACCGAAGAAGATTCTGCGCCAACGTGTCGTGCACGAAGCTCTTGGTCACATCCAGCGAGTTACGCAGCAGAGCTTCCAGAGCCAACAGCGCACGCGACCGGATCTGCAGTCTCCATAAGCTGTCGAAGTCAGTCAAGACACTCGTCTCGTCCAAGGATGCGAGCTGTAGAATCACCGGCATCATGTCGAGCGTAAGTGGAGCTGCCGTGGGAGGCAAGCAGATCTCTTCGGTCGGCGACAACGACGACAACTCGACGTCTTGAACGTTGTGGCCAGGATCAAAGTCCACTCCTGACGTGGTGGGGTGGAACGCGACGCGGACTGTCGAGGCATGCGAGCTCATCTCGATCAACGTAGCGCTCACCAACTGCGCACTGCCATCCGCACTTAAATCCGCCCCGTTTCCATTGGCTCCTTGAGCAGCGACAGCCACTTTCCCACCAATTCGAATGCAGTCCGAGTGGGAGCCAAGGACGCAAAGAGCGCCCACCGCTCGGCTAATTGCAGCTCTCAGGCGAATATCCGACGGGTCTGCGCTTGCTCTCGCGTCAACTGGTGGGCCGGATTTCTTCCTAGCCAGAATCGGCGTGATGTTGCGAATTGCGTTGCACAAGTTCTCTGCAACGCCATGCTGCCATTGTTTCTCCATCAATAGTCGTCGTAATAACGCCACACTTTCTGACGCCACGACTAGCGAGATCTGACCAGAATGGAACCCGATCGGGTTGCTTAACGACTCGGTGGACGCCATGAAGCTGTCCGTTCCGACCAACGCGCTGCTTGCCGGGACGCTGACTGCATGGGTCGCCATCGGTGCAGCTGTGCTACACACGGACTCGGCTACTTGGTCCAGTAGCAAGTCAATTAGTACAGACTCGGAGCCGAGAATGGCGCCAACATCGGACGGTTTGACACTGCCACTGCAGCAGATTCGGCGCAGAAGAAGCTTGACGACGCGCTGCGAACGAGGAGACGCTAGACGGAGCATTTCCAGCAGCCCTCGAAGCATATGAGCACGCACCAGATGCGTTATCGCTGGTGATTGCTGGCTTTGGGAAAGCAAGAACAACAACACCCCGAACAAGTGCGTCTCGACTTCCAGAGGCTCCAGCACGTCGCTGTCTCCTGTTAAGTCACTCGGGCCATGGTGGACGTTGACAAAGCCAGATTTCCCATGCGCGACGTCACTTGGATACTGACGAAGACTTGCACCGCGCTTTTGAACTGGCGTAGACACGGAACGAAGCATCCGTTGAGCACGCGTCAGCCCTTCGGCTTCTTCAGTTAACTCTTTGCCTTGGATCAACTCCTTCTCGAGAACTTCGAACACTTTTCGATGGAATTCTTTGGAGAACCACAACGTCTGAAGCACAGGCTCTTCCAGCTCTCTGTTCGTCGCTGCACTCTTGGCTGCGTCGCTTGCAGCTTCAGCTGTGCGAGCAGCAGCGTCGTCATCGGTAAAGCCCGAACTCGAAGCACGTATCACGTCCGAACTTCCAACAGAAGACATGACATTACTGGAACTCCCAGTCTTCTGAAGTCGCTGCTTCCGCTTGAGTTTTGCCACTGCAGCAACGGACTTGGCTTCTCCCTCGCGTCTCTCGTACGCACCGCTGATTCCTGTGGACGCCAAGAAGCGGAACACAACCCACGCGCATCTTCTCGTTTGCTTGTGAATAATCATCTGCTCGTCTGTACAAGAACTCCACTGAGCCAGAAGCTTACTCGTAGTCGCATCCATTAGCTGGCTCTGCGTTGCATCCGTTTGGCCACTCAAATACGCGTCATCACTGTCGGACAAGTCCACACCGTCATCGCCATCACTTCGAGATAACTGACTCCACTTGTGGATAGCAACACGTTCGTCGTGTTCACAGACCAGCTTCGAGAGCTTCGCGGACTCGTTAAACTGACTCGAATACCACGATCGAACTGTTCGCTGGAAGGAAGAAAGACACGCCACGACTCGACTCCATTCACTCGATGACATGTTGTCCACAGCGTCATTTGCGAAGACGGGGATACTCGAAGGAACCCAGCGACAGTGTGCGATTGTGGAGGTGAACCCTCTTGCTTCAAGATCTTCCGTCGCTGCTTTCAACTCAGGAGCGCAGTCGTAGCCGCAGATTCCTTCTCCTTCTGTCAAATGCCACAAACCGATCATGTCTCTGGAGAATACTTGCGACGTGGACAAGGAGGCCTCCGTCGGACGCACTAAAGGAACACTGCGCTGGAAGTCTTGTGCGATCTCTCCAAGAGTACGCGATACTCTCCAAATCCGAACTTCAGCGATCGATCCTTTAAACTTCCGTTGGGCCGAGATGTTCGTGAGTGCAGCGCCTTGTGCGTCCACCTCACTCATCCAGCACCCGAGTCGAGAATCGCGGAAGTTTATAATGCTGCACACACGTTCATACGCCATTTGCTCAACCACAGCTCCGTTTACGAGCAGCTGGATGCGTTTCTCGCTTGAGTTGTAAACGACAGCGCAATGCGTCCACTCGAAGGACCGGAATGGGTACGAGCTAAACAGCCGTTCACGTGGGAAGTTGCCTGGAATCGCTAGCTGCAAGTGTCGACCAATTAATTCCAGATAAACGCTGCCATTGTGCACGCCATTATCACATCGCAAGGCTTGACATCCAGTCAGCTCCGTCGGGAATATCCACATCTCGATAGTAAAGTCTTTCGCTTCGCCCAATGCTGGCGTCTCGACGTAACTCACTTCGTCTGGCTTCGGATTAGATGATGCCTGGGCTCCACGTCCAGTGACTGGTGCTACCTTAGCACCGAAGAGAAGTACTCTCGCAGTGTGCGTACGAGGTGGCGGGCCGAGTAACTTCTGTTGCAGTCGACCCAGCATGTCGGAATAGAGTAGAGCCAGTGAGGACGCCGTGTGGCGAGCAGTTAACGGGACTGCATTGGTTGTACTCTCCACATCAAGTTCGTTCTTCTTCCACCATTCCGCGGAGCACGCGTAGTGAGGAGCTCGATGCAGTAGACGGATCATATCTCGTTTCGTCATATATCCGCTGCGTAGCAGACCTTGCTGGACGAATTCCTCGGACAAAGGATGCCAGTTGATGCTCGAGTACTCACGCGCGGAGCTACACGACAGACTCGAGGAGCTGTTACTAGCCACAGCCTCGCGCAGAACCGAGCTAATGGAAAACACTTCTTGCAGCTTGGACAGCATTCCCGTGTCAAGTAAGAACTGATGGTCGCGCGGCTCAAAGTCCAGACTCCAGGCACAAAGAATCGTTTGTTTCAGCTGCGGATCCGACACAGAGTGGCCCGAGCTCCCACCGAGCAGCTGCGCCAAGTAGCCGTAGAGATCGCAGAAGGCACTTTGAACACTCTCGATGGTCTGGCGATTGCAGCCTTCCAGTCCCTTCAAATAGTGGTGACGGACGGTAGCTCGGAAGGTCTCGGCGACGATCTGGCCGTCGTTCAGCTCGCGTGACTCCTTCTCACTCTCTGTGAACCCTCTCATGGCAGGGCGGAGGAATATCAGAGCGTTGTGGATGGCGGAATCGTAAGACAACAGCGATAGGATGCTCTTCATCGCTTGAAGTCCAAAGAGTCGAGAATCTGATCGTCGTTGGCGTCTCTCTAGCAACAGAGACAGCACTTCAGGAGGAGCTCCAGTCCCATCACGGATATACAGCTCGCATGCCTTCATCATGGCTGAAAAACTGTTCGTGTAGTCGTATTTCTTGCTCACCAGGTCCTCGGAGCCCTCGACATCTGCGCTGTCGTCACTTTCAGTAGGCTGGAGAGTAGTCGCTGGCCCGACATGTCCATGTATAGAGGCTCGTCGAGCTCTCCAGCGATGTTGAGCACGCAGCACATCCACAATCCCCGACCACTTCGAACTATCCGCTTCTCCTAGAGTCTTCCAGCGTTCAAGCATCGGCTGCAGCGATGGAGGCGTTGTTTGCGCACTCCACTTCTCCGCCAGATTAAATAGCGCCATCTGTGAGTCTCCTTTGAGTCGCTCAGCTTCCTCTGACGGCGGTGCCAGCTTACACAGGAACTCTGCTCGTTGGATCACCTGCTTCACAAGATCATCGAACGTTCTGGGCATCACCACGCTTTCCTCCAAATTAATCTCGTTCCTCCATCTCTTGACTGCATTAGCGTCGTCACTTGGCTCTTTCATCGTCTCTGTCAACCCACGAGCTTCATCTCGAGGCGATGTATTGGTCGGCGAAGGTTCGTCCGCTTGTCTCGCGCGATATTCCTGTCTCACTTTGATCAGCCAGTGGCGAAGCATTATGATGCGCTTCCAGACTTGGATCAGGTCGTCCGACGGGGTTAGATCCGCATGGGCAAGGAAAAACGCTGCTCCAACCACTTCGCCTGTAGCACTAGCGCCAGCTCCTGCAGCGATCGCTTGAACTTCTTGGAGGACATGCGACGGAGCGTGCATGATCAAAGCTGCACACATCCATCGTTCACAGGACGGGAACCTTCCAAGTCGACTCAAGAAGGTACGATCGGGGCTGTGCTTCTCCAGCCACGATATGATAAGCTGGACGATGCCACGCTCCGTCATATCCGTCGTCCAGCTCTCCCAGAACGCAGAGTCGTGCTGACGAACAGCTTCCGCTTGTAGCCGTCCACCAGAGCCACGCTTCCTCAGCACAGCATTGTTCTCGACATTTTGTGCTAACGTTCCAGTTCCAGCAGCCTGTTCATTCGAGGGATAGCGCGCATAATCCGCATGTAAGGCATCACTCCAGCGCATACCGAATTGATCTTGACTAGCACAACTCTCAGCGATGCCTCCACTCAGCAGAGGTGACTGTAGCCACGGCAACAGTTCTTCCTCTGCGCCATCAATAGGATTGCCAGCGATAAGTGTGCTAGCAATACGCCCTGCAAGAGACGCAAGCGAGTTGTGCAAGTCGAACAGCCAATGAATACACAGCGTTGACCTCGCAATTCCCGACGGACGAACGTGAACGACATCTTGAGCTCCGTAGAGTGACACACCAGCCGTCACCACTTCAGGTAGCCCCTCAATTATCGTTCCAAGCGGCTCGAACTCCCCAGGCCCGACAGCCACTCCAATATTCTTGCCATTGTACGCGAACGAGAGCAGCTGTGAGTCGTAGTCGATAGTAACAGTGAAGATATCGCCAGCAGCAACTGGAAGCTTCGGTCCGTAGTCGTACCGCGTCCCTCGTACCCAAACGGCACCAATAGAAGGCATCCACCCGATGCTCGTTAGTGTTTCCCCCACGAATGTTTCGTAGCTCGATAGATTCTCCACGATCCCGCTCTGCGGCCGTCGCCAATCCACGCCAACGCATATATGACCTGAGACTGTACCTCCAGCACGCGAGCATTTGAGCGCGAAATCCACGGAATGCACGCCATGAAGAAACGCCGTTCGCAGCAGACAAGTTCGCCAGGTATCGGCGCCATCTTTCGCGTAAGCTGAAGTCCCCGCGTGGCTGATGCAGACCGAGTTCAGCTTCTTGTTCGTGTTGAATCGTAGTGGCAAGCAGCCGTGCGGAGGGATAAACCGTGGCAGACTGGCCAAGGGAGTCTCGTCCTGTACCAAGAACGTCGGCACACCGTACGCAGCTCCCATCATGTTCTGAGATCCAGGGAAACCAACAGAGCCCGATGCGTAGCAGTCGCGCAAGATCCTGATGAAGGACTCGTCGTATTCTTCATCGGGCAGGTTCTCTTTCTTGTACCACGGGTCTCCTCCGTTCGCGAACTCCTGAGTCGTCAAGCGATACAGCTTCCCTTGTGTGATCCTCGCAGGACTTGCGAGCATCTCCAATGCATACCCTATAGCGTCTTTCTTGGAGCTTCCACCGACTCTTGCGTGAGCAACAAGTAGCTGCGATCCCTCTTCCCACAGCCGAATTGTGTGTTCGCGCGTGAGTCGTCCACCGTTTCTGGTAGGATTGACAGAGCGACCCAATGCGACGATGCTAAACGAACTGGTCGCTTCGAACTGGAACCCAATCTGGCCTTCGAAATGGTCCTTTTCTCCGGTGTACAGCTGATGGAACACGTTGTACAGCCGCTTGGATGTGTGCGATCGGAAGCTCGGGTCTCTTTCAAGCGCAGCAGCACGCTCCATCTCGTGCGATTCAATCAATCGCGCCTTCTGGTGGGACTCCAACTGCTGAAATCGATGCGCAGACTTGCTCGCAATCTGCGACTCCGAGCAGTAGTGGTCCAGCGCTTCGAGCAGCCTTACAACCGCTGGAAGTATCGGTCGAGCGAGCCATGTTTGACGTCGTAACAGGCAAAGACATGCCACAAACCACGGGAGAACCTCCGACAGCAGCGGAATCTTATACGACCGAACGCTGGCCTGACGCGCGGCTGCAGACTGGTTAAGCAGAAAGGATTCATCAGCCTGACAAGCGACGATACTGTCAGCCAGATCTCGATACGCGTTCAGAGATAGAAACCCGAATTGGGTCGTTGCTTCCTGGACTTGAACTCGTCGTTGCAGCTTTGCTCTCAACTCGTTCGCGTCTCTCGGACTGTCTGGGTCGTCCTCGATTGCATTCGTCTTCGTCGACTCTACAGCCTCTGAGAGCAGGTAGAGCTGGTATGTCTTCAGCAGACTGATAGCCTCATCGGATAGCCCATCGGTATTCGCAGTTGGGTCGTGTGAAGTGCTGTCATTGTCACTTGCAAGTTGTCGACGGTGATCGTTCACCACGACCTGCATGAGGAGCCCTATGGTTTCTGTCACTGCAGCGAGCCATGGAGCTTCTTCGGTAGCCTGGACACTCGCTCCTCTGCTCTTAGCAATCTCGGTGGCCATAAAAGGCATGAAAGTCAGGATTCCATCAGGACCTGGAGCAGCCAGTAGCTTCATCACCGATGCTAAGACGAAGTAGCTGGCTGAAGTAGCATCAAGTGGGCGTTGCATGTACAGCCGCAGCAGCTGGAGTAGCAGCTCCAGTTTATCCAGCGCAGACGGATACAACACCGTGATGCCAGCCACGATCGTCTGCGCCGCCGCCATGTCGATATCACTTGTCAAACTATCGTCTGACGCTCCAGATTCTTCGCGAATACGTGCAATAGCTTCAAGCTCCTGTCGTAGATCGGCAACCAAGTCAGACGACACGCCCAGTTCCGTCGCGGGATCCTTCACGTCATGACGTCCAATACTCTCCAAATTGGCACTAATAATCCCCAGAATGTGCACACAGCCGTCGCGGACGAGTCGTGTATCCACATCTTCTCCAGAAGAGCTGCATTGAGCATGATACCGCTGAAGAATGGCGAGTAGTAAGACAAATACTTCCTTGTTCGGCTGACGGCAGAACGGTTCCTCAAACTGGATGGAGGGCTTCAAAGATGCTTTTGATGGCTCCAATTGACGTTGGTATAAATCGTAGATTTGGCTGATGATTGCAGTGCCGAGATCTCCGAGAGATTCCGCCTTCTGAGCGTCGTCTTCGCTCTTGAACGCCGTCGATATTCCTTTGCTAGCCACATATTCCAAGGCTGCCACGTCTTCTGAAGTCGAGCTTTCATCACGAGTCCCCTTTCTGCAGACCGTACAGGCTTTTGAGAATCCTCTGTTGACAAAGGAGCAATTTGAGCATGCCCACTCCTCGATAGGATGCAAGCAAGGGTCGACCCAGACAGCATGTGCGCAGTGATTCGAGCCAGAACATGACACCCGCAGCTCCAGCATGCGCACCTCGTCCACGTTCACATCGAACGCCTCGTTCTGGTGCGTTTCAGACAGCTGCTTTGACTGCCACAGCACTTTATCGTCGCCTACGATCTTGAATACGACCGAGACGCCGCGATTCTGGAGGATCTCGTAGCGTGTGTCATCGTTGATAGCAACTGCGCCTTTGATCGCATGATACGCTTCAGACAAGTCGTATATCACGTAGGCGTCGCCATGAGACGGTGGGTGAGTCGACAAGCACCGCTGCTTAGCCTCGCCGTTGATGTGAATTGAAGTGCTGCCGGTAGGAGGTGCATTTCCTGATAGCGTGTTGGGGTCTCCGTTGCTCGCATACCCCAACTGATTTCCCTTCCCTAACGTTCCATATCCAACAGAGAAATGGTGCTCTCTCATACTCGATAGAAACACGGGGTCAACGTCAGCTGGTCCGGAGCCAGCACAGTCCCATTTCGTGACTCCAAGTAGAGTAATGACCTTCCCAGAGCCATAGAACGATACAGCAGGATGTACTTCATGGCCAGCTAGATCCGTAAATACGACGCCGTAATCCGTTCCATTGATCTTGTACGCCAGCGTGCCTTCGCTCAAGTCAATATCGACTTGAACTATGTCGCCAGGATGCACTTTACCGATAGTTCGATTTAATTTGTGTCCACGAGCGTACAGATTGCCATTGTACCCTCGAAGCATCCAAAGACTGGGGGACGAATCATAACCGTTCACCGTCACAGGGAGTATAGCAGCTCCAAAGCATGTCATCTCATCGTCTTGCGTGTCTGTATCAAGACGGAATTTCCACGACGCTTTTCCCGACGAGATGCCGCAGTTCACAGCTGCGTACTGGTAGCTCGTTTCCCGCGTCCTTACAACAAGCCCTCCATCCTCGACTACTACACCCGTAGAGCAAACCGAAGACTCGAACACGGCGGCAACTCTGCGAACGTCTCCAAAAGCGACCTTGTCTCCTTCGTGCGTCAATCGCTGGGATTCTTCCCGATGATATGCGTTAATGCCCTTCAGCAATAGTCGTCCTTGCTCCAGTGCGAGCGTTGCAATTCTAGATCGTCGTGGGTCTTGGTCGGCATCGAAGCGCAACAGCAGATCCACGAACAGCAACGTAACTTCAAGTGATGACGTTGACAGCGCCCAAGCTCTAAGAGCGCCAATGGCTTCTGTCGCCATGACCTCGTCGGCATTCTCCAGTGCACCCAGAAGCCAATACGCAATAGCACTAACTGTTGCCTTGGGGTCGGCGAATAGAGATCCAGGAGCGGGCATTTTGAAGCGCAAGTGCTCAATCGCGTACGTGCCATTACGGTTCGAAGCCGGCGTCCCGGTCATGACAATCTGCACTTCTTGGCATGACGGTGGGAAGCTTGTTTCCATCACAGTGGGGCTAGACAGAGAGACACTTCGGTCTCCTGCCAGCTGAATAAAACTGTCGCTCCCCTCAGTACGGTACTGCACGCTGACAGTTTGCGGTACGTACTTCATGTGCCAATGAATAGCGATAGACGTCACCTTCTCGAGCTCCGTCGACTCCACCACAAAGTACACAGCGCCTGGTCTCGGTTGGGACTGCCAGAAGGTATTGTCCACTCCGTCTACTGCACCATAAGCTCCATGCGAGTCCGAACTGGACGTCACAGATGAAGCTGCCACCTTGTCTTTATCAAACAGCAACACTTTATCCGGTGGCTTCTTCATTGGACTCCAGAACGAGAACAACGACAGCACTGGGAAGCACGTTAACAGCTGTGACAGCTCTTCAAAAGACCGTAAAGCTTGTGGGCTATTGTAATCGAACGCCCCCAGTAGCGCGCCGAGTGTGTGGATAGCTAAATGGTGCAATTCCTCGTTCCCTGGGGCTGTTTCCACTGGTCTTGGGATCTTCTTCACTCCGTCATGACTCATAAGCTCACAGGCTATGTTTGTGCTGTGAGAGATCACAGCTAGTCTCCTTTCCAACACGTGGGTGAAGACTGGAGTGGGTAATGCCTCAATGAGCATCTCCTCGAGCGTCCGGATGGATCCTTTCTCCGTGCCAGATTTGTCTACAACTCCGGCGCCCGTCATGTTCCTGTAGTCTGCCACACTCTGACGACATTTGAGCTTTCTGTTCTTGTGCATCCGATGCTCCGTAGGCAGATCACCTGCTGTGTTTTCGCCGCAGATGAGCGAAGAGATAAAGGCGTCCTGCAGGACGTTAGCTTGCAGCTGGCGAAGATATTCCTCGCTCTGTAGAAAGTCGTCCCAACTGGTAGCTGATGTGTACTGTAATGGCGCGAAGCATACAGCGCAGGACCGCGTGCGGCCAGAGTGAAGGCGTGCAGGCTTGGGCATCCAGCCATCCTCGTCGTCTGCCGTCCCCCAGGCTTCAGATTGCCCTACAACTCCGATGACAGATGCAGACACTTCATCGATCGGTCCTATGTCGCTTGTATCGGCGCCGGAGCTCGCCACAGCGGCGTCCACGCGCAAAGGATCCAGCTCTTCCACCTCCATGATCGCTTTGGCGTTCTTCTCGTTCTCAGAAAGATATTGAGTGTTATGATTGGATGAAAAGGATAATAACAAATCGATAGCGAGTATTTGCTGGCTTCATAAAAATAACTTGTACGGGGGTGGCTGAACAATGCATCCCATATATAAAAGTTCTGGTTACTTCTCTTCCTTCTTCTCTTTGTTTCTCTCTTGACGTGGAGAGGATATCGATAGAACGGCGGTCTACAATGCTTGCGAGCCGTTGAGTGTCCGACGAGTGCCGCCGTTGACGTTGAGCCCCGCAGGAGACTCAAAGTTCGAGTAGCTTCCCTCCTGTGGGGTCAGTGCCGCTGCTGAGTAGTGCGACGACGAGCGACGTACGTTGGAGCGTGAGCGCAGGAAGCTCTGCGATCGAGACACACGAGCGGCGAAGGACGGTCTGTTATGAGCTGCCTCGGCGTCCTTCCGCATCTTCTTCTCGCTCTTGAGTTCGATAGCGCCGTACTTGGAGCTGGCGCACACCACGAACATGAAGACCGTGAGCAGAAGACACAGGCCGGCGAAGATCAAGTGGCTGATAGCGAACGACGGTTCCACCACGTAGATCGCGGCCTGGACAGCGTAGTACACGACGAAGGACATGACGATGTATCGTCCGTTCTGGTACGGAGGGAACACTTCGATCGCAGTGAGCCATGTGCCGCACGTGAGACTCAGCGCTCCACTGACGAAGGCTACGAACACCAAGATCTGAGTTATGACACTGTCTTCTTGGTCGGCGAGTCCCATGGCGCCACAGGCGATTGATAGGGCTGCGGAGAATGGAAGAACGTCCTTGAAGATGGTCTTGCGACGTAGATTGTCCACTGTGAGCAAACTCATTACAGCGCCGATGAACGTCATGATGCCGTAGTAGATCAGCCACTTTGACGTCTGCGCACCAGCCTGTGAAGGGGTCGGTTGCACGAGCACACGGTGCAGCAACGCACCGGACGTGAAGATTGCGAACGTCGCCTGTAAGACGATCACCAGCACGATACGGAACGGCACGTTCACACGTCCGCTCTTGACCACGAATGAGTCCTTCAATTCACTGACCTCCTCAATCACATCATGACGTTGACGTAGACGCGTCAACGCTGCTTCAGCCACCTTGGTGTCGTTTCTACGCCGGTACTCCCAGTAGTGACTCTCCGGAAGGAAGAACATGACGGGAACAAGCAGCACGAGCGGAATGATACCAAAGATAAACTGCCACTGCCAGTCATGGTACGGCGAGTTGCCCCAGTTCTCCGACATGGACGTGGCGTTGATGTCGTTAATGAGCACGGCTTCGATCATGTAGCCCAGCGCAGCACTACTGAGGAATATCAGCACACCCTTACCCTTCCAGCCCTGCATACAGATCTCGAAGTTGTACAAAGGACACACGAGCGAGAGCATAGCGATGCCTGCCGATGCTAGACAGATCCCGATCAGCGCCATCGAGCTTGACTCCATCCACACCACAGCACAGCCAGCGAACGTCACCAGACACGACACTTCGATCGTCCAGCGACGACCAATGACGTGGGCCAGTACTCCGCTCAAGATGGCACCGACAGCACCGGCTGCAGCAGCGTACACTTTGATCATGGTCAGATCCAACGCGCGGTCCAGAGTCTCGTTGTTGTAGTAAATAAACGACTGGTTTACGAAATTGTCAGAGGACGAGTTGACGAATCCCAGCGAGAAGATGAGGCACGTCAACCAGCCGTACGTGAAGCCACCCAGACCGCCCACAACCACACTCAACGAAGCCGCAAACTCACTGCCAGAGCTCAGCGCACGTGAGAAGCCACCGTTATACATCATACGCGTCTGGATTGTCTTCATAAACGGGAAAGCTGACAGCACCAGGAGCGGGATCGCGAGAAATAGACCCACGACCACATCAAAGAAGAAGGCAAGTTCACGCACAAGTCCCCACTTGGCCACAGGCAAGCCAAACAACCCGTGAAGAAGTTGCAGGTAGTGCAATAGCGAGAATAGTCCCGTGAAAATAGCCACCGTCAGCGAGAAACACTTGATGCCGTCCCAATCTTGCATAGGACCCACGATAAAGGGAGCCAATCCGATGATCACTACCATCAGCACGTACATCATAGCACGCGGAACACGAGCCTTGTTGCGCAAGCACATCCCCAGGCCAAAGCCACCGATCCAAAGCACGATGGCAATAGCACCAACGCATGCCAACAGCATTCCGATATCACTCAAGCTGAAGGAAAAGATAAAGATGTAGTACATGACCAGAGGGTGACGAAACTCACGGACAGCGTAGACGAAGCGACTCATGGGGCCAATTGGGTACATGAGGCTGGCCTCGTAGTTGTAGAAGTCATTCCATGTGTCTATCGGTCCAGAGGGACTGCTGCTCATGTGGTTTGGCAGCAATCTTTCCTCCTCCTCTTCTTCTCGCACAGACATGAGCCAGGAAAGCCAGTACGTGATGTCTACTCGAGTCTTGGAAAAGTCCAGCCCGTCCGTGTTGAACAGGAATGGCGCAAGCAGCCAACACGTGCCGAGCAACCACACAGCGAACGAAGCGATGCCGTAGTCCTGGCCCTTGGAGCTGTACGAGTTCAGCAGCGTGACGTTCGATGGAATCTGGTCGGGATCAGTGTCGCAATCGAAGTCTGCAGTGGCACAGTACTCTGCCAGCACATTGGTACCGATATTGAAGTTACCGTATGTTCCAAAGATGATCATCAACCCCATAAGCTCGACAGCCTTGCGGTAGTGCGACGCAGCGTACTCCTTGTAGAAATTCACCATCGTTTCACGAACAATAGCAAAGCCACGACCGGTACCACGATACTTAGAGCCACCACGCATGATGGCAACATCGTAAAAGTGCGACTTCGTGCCCGTCTCAAAGATATAAAACACTGGACCTAGCGTCACGATGAGCTCCACAAAATTCACCACGGCCTGGTGCCAACCGTACTCCACAAACAGCGTCGCGATCAGCGGAATAGTCATCAGCATACCAAACTGGAAGATAAACTGCGTGTTCATCACCTCGGCGAGATCATCGAGGTAGCTCGTCGTGATAATGGCCGACTCCTCGATCTCTTGGTGCAGCACGATGTACACTTTGCCGTACCCATACGCGAACACACACAGCACCACCAAAGCGTTACAGATGTAGAAGCCCATGTGGCCGTAGAACATCGAGTTCAAGCGGAAGAAATCCATACCAGCACCCATTCGGTGAGACTCGCGACTCAGCGAGCTCTCAGCGCTACCATTCGACAGCTTGGCCTCGAAAGCGTTAATCTGACTCAACGTCACATCACGACCTTTACCGCACTGCATGAACTCCTGATGTGTGACCTTCTCACCGCGAAGTGCCACGTTATAACCGGCAAACACATCCTCCGACAGATTGATACCCTTGCTAGCCTTCGACACGCCTCCATTGGACATCACAAACGACTTCTCGAACACATCAGGGTGACCGTAGTGCATACGACTCTGCAGAGGGTTCGCCAGTACACGCTGGGTCAAACTCACGAACACCAGCTCTTGAAGCGTCATGAAGTGCGCCAGAGACGACGCTCGGCCAGTGAAAATGTGCTCCTTCATCCCAATAACGGTAACGTTCTGTCCATTCTGCGTAGCTGTAGCCAGGAAGTTGGGGATCTTAAGCGCTTCCTCAAAGTAGTGCTCCTGGTTCATATCAATCGTCTGCACGTACTCACCACGCGTGAATGGCAGGGCGACGTTCTGGTTCTCAGGTTTACCCTCACCAACCATAGGGTTGCCGGGTAGTTCATAACGATACACTTCAACAATCTCGTCGCCATCCGACTTGACCAGGACACAGTCAAAGCGAGGTTCCGTGCCACTGCCAGAAGGTGGGCGGATCGTATCGACATAGCTCACACGCCAATTCGGGTACTTGCGCATCAGCAAGTCGATATCTGCAGCACGCGAGTCTCCAGCCGCAAGTTGGTCAGCGTAAATCTGACAGCTCGTCACGTACGAGAACTTCAAGCCAGCGATGCGATCCATGTGCTTGATCTTCTCCAAGTGGGAGATGTTCTCGTCTGAGCCAATCTCCAGCCAACGTAGCATCTTCAATGCATCCTCGTACATCATCATACCATGCACGGTACGAGCCAAAGTCTGTCCACGCATCGACGCCCAGAGACGAACCTGCGTAGGCGTCTCAGCCAGAGCCTCGTCCATCGAGGCTACACCCACACGCTCAAGAAAGTTGCCCCATTCATCGTCGTGGAACGTAATTAGATACTTCAGAATGCTCAGGTCGCGTCCCTTCTGCTCCACCTTGCGGAAAAGCGGGTTCGAGTCCACACGTCCGTTCAGCTCATCCACTGAGAACAGCACAGTTTCGTTGTAGTACGGCGTAACCACAGAAAACGATTTCATCGCAGCAATGGAGTCGATCGTCGGGATCTTCATGTGCAGAGAATTCAGGAAGAAACTCATGCGACGCTGAGCTTCATGGCAACGTGGTAGTGCATCAGCAGCATCCAGAGTCAACAGGAAAAAGAGACGCGTGGAGAGCGACACCACACTCTCGTTCGAGCTCGGAGAGGTCGTGCGTGTAGGTGAATTCGAGTCGCGCTGACTGATACGGTCGGCAAAGATCGACAGCAATTGCTCCTTCTGATACGCGAGGTCGGGCGTCATCTTGGCGAATGCAGACTTCCGCAGCTTCTCCGCCATCCACTCTTCCTCCAGCATGAGCTCAATACTCTTCAACAGAGCATCTACACGCTGCACGACAACTAAAACCTGGTCATGCGGGAAGCCAAACGCGGCACCTGTGGGCCCAACCGTCGGTTCCGGCAAGTCCAGGATGCTCGCAAGCAAGTCGACGATATTTTCGCGCACCAATCCGATGTGTGTAAGGTTCACGACGCCACTTACTCTGCCTCCAGCCAAGATCTGGTGGAACACACCAATCAGTTCAGTGTCCTGCGGACCCAAAAGCTGTCGCAAGATCTGGAATACAATGTCGACGCAGTTGTTAGCGCATCCCAGCACCCCGGCCTTCTTTAGGTCCTTGAACAGCTGACCGTCACTCATACGCTTAGTCTTAGCTCTAGCAGCAATATCAGCTGCCGCTTGAGCCTCGCCAGCGATCAAAAACACAGGCTCTTCGACGGCTCCAGTGTCCGAGATCTGGTACTGAAGGATGGCAGTCTCACGGTCGTCCAGTAGATCAGACAAGCGGAAGCTGCTCACTACTTCGTTCCACACTACTGCAAAGCGCAGACGGCTGTTAGCATCGGGGGCAACAGAGCTGGACGACAACGGGTTGTTATTGAAAGCCAGCTGACCGCGTGCGGCGGCTGAGACCACCTTCTCATCGAACAGATTTGGAGCCTGTTGCAGACGCTTGACAAACTCGTTAATGCGAGCTGAGTGACCAATTTTAAGACGGAAACCGATCCAGGCGCCCACGATAGCCTGCGCAATAGCCAGCCAAATCTGGGAGTCGTACATGTACACAAGCACCACAGGCGCCCACATAGCCGCCAGGAACGCAATATTGTGGTCCGACTCGATAATCCCATTCTCCAGCTGAGCAGCGGAGACATCCACATCGTAGATTTCCACACTTGGGCCAATCAGAGGCTTCACCATAAGTTGCAAGTTGAACATGAACTTGCAGACGAAAATGACGGTCCAGAACGTCCCGTAGCACAGGAAATCTCCCCAGCTCTGGCCCATCGTGCGGCCAATATACTGCTCACGCGTTCCGTCCATTGAGCTCAGCAAGGCTGACCTCCAGATAACTCCACGGAAGACCATCTGCACAATGGAAACGACCACGATCGGCGCGATGTACACACCGATGAGCATTGGGCCCATCGAGAGCAAGTTATCTGATCCCATTGTCTTGTATGGAGCTGCGTTTACCGCCGTGAAGAGGCCAAAGAACACTGTGTGCCACACAAGTCGGACAAACACCGACACGGCGTACATGATGCGGCTGAAGATGCGTGTGCCATCAATCCAGACGTCCAGCACGACCTTGAGAGCCAACATGCCACTAATTGTGATAAAGATGGAGTAGAAGGAATGGTTCCGGATGTCCTCGATGTCGGACGTGAAGAAGTTCGAGTAAAACTTGAGTCCGTCCGTGTCGTCAGGGTCCGAGCGATACGCCACATAGGCGATGACTACCAGGATATGCAGCATCACAAAGAGGAAAAAGTAGATGCGGAAGAAGGCCAGGATCGGGTTGCAGAAGCTGCGGCGCTCCTTGAACGTCTTGAAGTCACGTACATTGACCGCTTCGGCCACGTTGAACTCGTCAAAGTGGAGACATGTGTCTCTCCAGAAGAACTCGTTCACATCGTCGTAGTTGGTCACGTTCTTATGGTCCACACCCGCGCCGTTCTTCTGCGGCGTCACGTCACGCATCTTCGCCACAACCGAGTACAGTGGGCGCACAATACGACGCAGAAACGTCCCTTCCGGTGCATTGGGCAGTTTCTCGATGCCATCTAATTTCGCAGCCATTTTATGGTACAGGAAGCAAAGGCATTCGGGCATGAAGCGCAAGTTGGCGCTTTCTCCCCAGATGAGCAGGAACAGCGCGATCTGGCGCTCCGCCGCTCCGGGATACGGCGCCGTTTCAAGTAGATATGGCTGAGTGCGCAGGAATTGACACCACTTGATGTAGTTCCGGAAGAACTTGGCGTGGATCGTCTCGATGGCGTTCTCCGTGTCCATGGGGGTCACGGCGGCCTCGAGGATCCTGGACTCGTAGTTGAGTACCCAGCACTCAAAATGTTCCTTTTGGTTACGAACATTGCCCTCCTGGAAGCCAAATTTGGCTTGAAGCAGCTCGAACGAGCCCGCTCCCGGCCGAGGCGGGCGGGTGGGCCCGGAAGACGTGAGCGCTGCGATGGGCTGATGCGTCTGTGGATATTTGTCCATGGTAGGGCGACTGATGCTCACACCGCGCTCAGCCGCCACGTCTTCCACCGTCTGGTAGTTAGATGGGGCGCGGCGACGCGGAGGCGCGGCCGAGTGCTGCCGTTGCAGACCACGGTCCATAGGTTTCTCTTTCTTCATCATCCCTGCGCTGAACCTAGCTAGCACCAGGGACACAAAAGTCCCTTCCTCTCTGTTTCCTTCCTTAGCTACCGAGCGACCTGTGGGCGTTTCGGTGCGCGCGTATATCGGGCCGAAAGACACTCACTATGCGAGTATGTTGCTTGGTCCGACTGCTGCGCCTTTGGTGAGCTTTGGAGCTGTGAGAGAGTTGCGTGCGGAATGGGCGAGCGCTTTCCGTTTCCCTTTCCGTCAGTCACGAGCGTCGAGCAGATTGTTCGGGCAAGGATAGCGGTTAGGGGAGATTCCTTACAAAAGGCAAGCTAAACCTGAACGATAATTTTAGAGCTCGGAACGCGCCCATAGTCGCAGGTGTGAAAGAGAGAGATCAAGCCACTATGCTGCAAAGGATGCACGCAAGAGGATCATGGTCAATTTGCGATCGCTAGCAGAAACAACACAAAAACGAGCACATATCGACTGCTTAGCGTGCAGTGCTTGCTATAGCTCGGAGTCCGAGCCTCGGACGCGGCGATCCAAATGAAGCGTCAAAATTGAGTGTACTAGTCAGAACCCCGCATAAGTTAAGTGTGGTACGCTAGTGACAGGCCAAAGTGCAATTTCCAGATACAATCCGGGTTTACCATCTGTCACCTACGACAGCGCTCGATACTTTGTGAAAAGGCTCGTGCTGAACATGTACATGTACTCCGATCGCCAGGCAGAATTTTGGGCCTGCACAGGTACCTTATGCGCAATTTGCATAAGCTCTGGTACTGACAGGCTTGCGCCCAACGCTCCTGGCGTAGCAGCGACGGTGGCAACTCCTTCACCACCACCTGGCACTCCCTTTGCATCACCGCCAATAGTGGCTGCAAGTCAAGGCCAGTCGCAAAGCGCTACCAAAATCATTGCGAGCTGCGAAAAAAAGCCGACAACGCGAAATCGATTTTGCCAGGGGATCTTGAACATGGCTACAATATACAACACCCCGATTCCATGCACCCAAGTCAAGAATCTCTGGAAGAAACACTCCATGCAACAGTACCGGTATCAGGATACCCAAAAAGTGCTGATGCCTTGCAGCAAATATCTTCATGATATCTTCGCCACAACGAGGCTTACATGTTCAGAGCAATTTATGGACGAGGTTATCTATTCTCTCGAGTCGCTCAGCTATTGCCCGATCGCCCCGTGCAAGGAAACAAAGGGAGGCCCATGCTGCCGGCGACAATACCGTAGCAGGGAGCAAAGGTGGCCTTGTCTTTCATGTCGTCCTGTTGACCAATCTTGCAGAGAGTCTCAGGGCAAAGAGGAGACGGAGCATCGAAGCGACAAAGTCATCATGCCATCCACACAATCGAACTCTAGTCCTTGTACTTCATGTCCTCCTCGCTGAATCCAATGGTCGGGAACTGGCGCACGAACGCGGTTACTTCGCTCTTAAGCGCGTCCACCTTGTCCTTGGCCTCAGCATCGTCCGCCACAAAGTCCTTGAAGTCCTTCACCTTCTTAACACCCTGACCACGGGCACGTTCGTTCAGCTCAGCCGTGAGTTTCACACCGTCGTCAATAAAGGCAGCCACTTGCTGAAAGTCCTCCTCTGTGCAGCCACGCGTGGACAGTGCAGGCGCACCCAGACGAATGCCACCAGGCACGAACGCGCTCTTGTCGCCGGGTACTGTGTTCTTGTTCACCACCATGTTGGCGCTCTCAAGCACGAATTCCACGCGGGCACCATCCACACCGCGCGACTTTTTGACATCAACCAGAGCCAAGTGGTTGTCCGTGCCGTTGGAGACCACGTCGTAGCCGCGCTTCATGAGTTCAGACACCATAGCACGTGAATTGGCAATCACCTGAGTCTGGTACGCCTTAAATTCCGAGCTCTGAGCCTGCAGCAACGCCGTGCTCAGCGCAGCGATCGTGTGGTTGTGCGGTCCACCCTGAAGTCCGGGGAACACGGCAAAATCAATCTTCTGCTGCAAGTCGTACATGACTTCCTTGCCGCTCTTCTTGTCGACGTGTTGCACTCCCTTACGGTAGAAGATCATGGCTCCTCGAGGTCCACGCAGTGACTTGTGTGTCGTAGTGGTCACCACGTCCGCGTACTCGAAAGGCGAAGGTACGACACCAGCAGCAACCAGACCGCTGATGTGGGCCATGTCGGCAAGCAGCACAGCGTCCTGTTGATCGCAGATCTCGCGCATACGCGCATAGTCAATGGAGCGCGAGTAGGCGCTGGTGCCCGCCACAATGAGCTTGGGGCGGAACAAAGCGGCAGTTTTCTCGAGTCCGTCATAGTCAATGAGTCCTGTGCTCTCGTTCAGACGGTAAGGCATGCTCTCAAAAAAGATAGACGTCGCCGAGATCTTCTTGCGGCCAAGCTGGTAGCCGTGCGACAGGTGGCCACCGTGCGGCAGATCCAGCGCCATGATGCGGTCGTGCGGCGCCAGCAGCGCTGTGTACACCTGGAAGTTGGCGGGTGAGCCGGAAAGCGGCTGCACATTGACTCCCCATTGCTCCGGGTCCAGATTAAATGCCTCAAGGGCGCGAGCACGACAGAGCTCCTCGGCCTGGTCGATGATCTGGTTGCCACCGTAATAGCGCTGGCCTGGGTATCCCTCCGAATATTTGTTAGACATGACAGATCCCAGCGCGTCCAGTACCGCAACAGACGTGCAGTTCTCGGACGCGATGAGGCTAATACAGTCACGCTGACGCTGCTTCTCGCGCTCGATGATGTCGAAAAGCTGCGGGTCCGACTCGGACAGCGGTTTGTTCATGGCTGCGGACCACTGCAGACTCTCGGACGAGGCGTGGCGACGCGACAGGAGCGCCGCGCGGCGGGCGGGGGTGCGCAAGAAGCCGAGCATCTTATGGTTGGGCCGGAGCAAATGCGGGAATGGCTTTGGTTTTATTTCAAGATCGTTTCCTCAAAGCCACGCATAAAGTGTACACCTTGAATAGTTTATTTATCACAGCATTATGCATATTACAAGGATTAGATGCTGCATTTTTGATGCTTAAAAAGTGCTCATTCGTTTACTATTTTGAGAGGGTATTGGTTAAAACGACGCTAATTTACCGCGTGGCGCTCCATTGGATTTGAGGCTCTTTTTTTGACACGCTGCTTGTCAGCGCTGTTTGGATGCCACGTACGTCCAGCAGATTAGATCTACAGTACAGTACAGACTTACCCAGTTGAAGTTTGTTGCAGCATTGCTTTGCTGTTGCTGCTCTATGTTTCTCCCTAATTCGACCATCGCCTTCTAGTTGCTTCGCTCTGCTACGCTGCCCCTCTCAATCTCCCACACGTCGATGCGGTCAGTGGAAAACTCTGGGTGTAAGCTGGCCGCTGGAACGCGCGTCTTGACGAGGTTGTATCGCTTCAGCTCACTAAACAGCAGCCGGTCCGACATGATGCTGCGCTTCTGGTACGACATGAGGATCCGTGTCTTCACGCTTGAATGGCGCAGCAGCGTGTCGAAGGTCGCCACGAGCGGGGGAATGAGCTCCTCAACCCACACGACGTCCGACGCCAGCAAAAAGTCAATGTCGCCCAGATCTGTAGGCGGGTTAAACCAGTCTAGCACTTGAGTAGAGACGTCACTCGTCATGGGTCTGCCGGTATTTTCCGCAAGCTTCATCGTCTCCGCGATGTTCTTGGCGAGATTGTCGACGACATAGCTCAAGTCCGACAAAATCACCTGTCGTGCTTCGAGTAGTGCAGCAGATATACCCACTAGGCCAGTTCCGGCCCCCAACTCTATGACACGACTTCCAGCAATGTCGCTGCGCCGTTGATACTCCAGATACTTAGCCAGTACCACCGATCCGTCCCATGTCGTCAGTCCCGTGCCTTTGCCCGAGTTGCCAATTTCTCCGATATACACCACCCTCCCATCGATCGCAAACTTGTCCCCCGCTGATAGATCAAGCCCAAAGATTCTTGACGGTAATGCTAGACACGTTTGGTCCGGAAACAGAGCCTCGACGTTTGTGAGTGTGACGCTTAGACGTGATCTGCGACCTCCTAACTGTGAGAGCTCTTCTAACTGAATAAACTGTTGCTGTTTCTGGTCGTAGACCTCAATCTTCATGTCCAGCCGGTTGGATATCTGGTTGCTCACTCTGTTTTCCACTAAACGCTCCATCAACTGTTGGCTAAGCACCTCTTGTAGCTCAGTCAGAGATGCAGGATGGTCCGTCAGCCGCATTGTCATCGGATCTTGCAGGTTTTCGGGCAATCCGAGCCGCTGCTGCAGCTCCACACGCAGTGTCAACGGTTGAGATGTAGACGCCATCGTTGGAGCAATAAATAGAGATAGCAATGAAGCCAGCAGGGCAAGGATATGCGTCGACGTCAGCGACATCCAGTAAGGTCTTCACTGACGTAGCGCGCCACATCACTTGTATACGAGCAAAAAAAATAGAATAATCTAGATTTATAAGTTTAATAATAAGCAATGGCCAAAAACCAATAATTGCGATTCAAAATTAGCAATAAAAATAAGCAATACAAACTTACGAAATCCAAAAATATTAAGAGGTCCTTCAGTAATTAAAATTCCACAAGACTTATGAGCGTACCGGTATTAGAAGTACATGTACCGGTACTCATTTTTTCCAGTAAATTGTTTTTTTTCAACTACTTTTTTCAAAACAAGGTTCACCTGAGACATATCTACATGTAGCTCGTGTCACGAGCTACATGTAGCCTCACGAGTCGAGAGGCTTACCGCATAGGCGACTTCATGAGCTTGCTCCATCCAAACTCCACGTCAGCTTCGCACCGATTTAGAAATCCGTTTCTTTGAGATAAAAATGGCGGCCGACGCTCCAACGTTCTTGGTGCGATAAGACACCGAGGCTTGTCAGCGTCAAGCCACTTTGCTAATAACGTCCCAGACAGCAGTCGCTTACTCAACCACGGCATACATGAAGGCTCCATCTGAACGCGGCCCCGTTCCCATCAGTGGTTACCTGTACAAGATGAAAGCCAAGGAGCGTGTACTCACGCCGCAGTGGAACAAGCGCTTCTTCGCTCTCGAGGGCACGAAGCTCAAATACTACCAGAACGAGAACTCGCAGGAGGCATCCAAGGTCATCGATCTATTGGGCGTCGAGTCCATCCGGCGCTTCGAGAACGGCGACCACGGCGTCTTCAGCTTCGTGGTCAAGACCCCCGAGCGCAGCTACTTCCTGCGGGCCGAGAGCAAGGGCGACATGAAGCGCTGGGTTCGCGGTCTTAAGGATCAGCAAGATCTGTGGCGTGCCAAGCTTGAAAAAGGTAGCGCGCTGCCCGACCCGGCTGTGCGTAGACCCAAACACTATAGCGACTTCCCTCTCGTGCCTCAAGGCAGTTCCAGCAGCCTCCGCGCTTGATAAAATACTTCAGTAGCGCACCAAATTAAATGTTTCCAACCACGCCTCCACGTTAAAAATTTGTAACCTTATAAAAATGTGGAGTCCCAAAGGCTCCTTCAATTTAGGCCTCGAGTCTGGATTTCCCTCAATTACCGCCTTCTATAAACCCGCAAACTTGGCCCAGCCCGGTGCGCTCTCACACAGCGCGCGAATGAGCGCATGTCGCTTCTCCGAATCCTGCAGCAACCGTGCGAGATCCGGTACTAGTCGGCCGACGAAGTCTGGGTCGAAGGAGTCCATTAAATATTGGTAAAACTCGTGTGCCGTGATCTGTTCGTTGCCATATTTGCGCGTGTGTGACGTGAACGACTTCATCTTCTTTGCGTCGCCATTAAAGGCAGCGAGAACGGACTCCAAGATGGACTTGTGCAGTAGCTGCGCCTCTTCTCCAACCACCGGCTCGATGTCTTTAATAGGCAACGGGACCACCACCTTGTTTCGTCTGCGACCTGCTGAAGAGGATCCTGCTCTCTCACGTCCTTCCGACGGAGGGGATACCAGCGAAGTGCGCTGTTGTTTCTTCGAGTCCTTCTCCTTCTTCACTTGCTCCTTGAAGCGCGCAAAAGCCTCCAGTAACACACGCTGCTTATCCTCGTCCGATAAAAGCTTCGCCGAGTTTGGGATGATCTTACTCGCACATTTCGACCCCACACACTGTCGCACTTGGTCACAGAATTCGTCCGCTGTGATCTCCTCCAAACCAAACTTGCGTGACGTGTCTTTGAATTGCTCAATCACTGCCTCTTCGTTGCCTGGCGAGTGCTTCCCTGCCCACGTCGTGATGGTGGACATGATCTCGGCATACACCGCCTTGGTCTCCTGTGAGTTCTGCTGTCGTTCCTCTTCTTGTCGCTGTCGCTCCTCGGCTTCTCGCTTTAATCGCTCTGCCTTTTCAGCCTCCGCAGCAGCGCGAGCCGCTGCAGCCTCCTCGTAAATGGCTTGGTACTCCTTAGTCTGGTTCTGACGGTATGCCTTCTTGAACTCAGTCACAAACTCGTCGAGGATAGTAAAGAACTCCATCGGGCCAACCTTCCGTGGATCTTCTCCAAACGAGCTCACCAGCTCTTGATACGACGTTTCCAAGCCGTTAAAGTCGCGTCCAAGCTCCTCCAGAACTTCCTCTGCATCCTTCGCAAACGGAGTCATCACTTCGTAGAACTTGTCGCCTTCAATGTGATCGCTCTTCGACGCTCGCACTTGGCCCTTCAGCATGGCCAGCTCAGTATTGTACGAGGACAGATCCGCGCGTAGTTGATCCAGAGACAATCTCTTGGCCTCAACGATATGTGGGACTTCTCCAGCGAACGTGATGACGTCCGGGGTATTCTCTTCCAACTGACGCAGCAAGAAATGCATCAATGTGACACGAGGATCGACCGACTTCAGTGTGTGTAGCTTCATCAGAGTGTCCAGCTTGAACCCGTACGCTCCGCCACGAGGTGTGCTGCCATTCAGGTAGTTTCCAATCGCCAGGATATGCTCCAAGACTCGACGGAACTTGTCGCTCTCCGTCACTTGATCTGTAGCAGCAACCAGCGTGTCCAGCTGCGCCTGTGTCTCCAGAATTCGATTCTCAAACTGCAATTTGTACCTGAAACACTTGATCCGTTGGGTATACCGAGGGATAGTCAGTAAATCCAGGAAGAACTTCTCCACGTTGCCCAGTAGCTTCACATCTCCGTCGTAGTTCTTGAGCATATCTATCTCTTCCAGCGTCGGGGAGATAGAAATGAGCACGTTCAGCACTTCAGAGCCCAGTTGCTGGCCGTCTAGCGCGTAGATGGCGTTCTTTATATCCTCCGACGACATTTTGAAGCGAGCAATGGCGATGGATACATTTTGTTGTCTCTTTGGGTCGAACAAGAGCACCTCCTTGGGCTGGGCAGGGACCTTTTCTGCTTCTTTCTTCTTCTCATCCAGCTTCTTCGATGCGTCCACCGGGTTCTTGCGGAACATCCACTCCATCTCTTCCACGTCAAGCTCGGCATGCGAGTCATTCAGCTTCATCCAGACAGTGCTGCTGACGACATTGACAGGCACACGAGTCCAGAACAGAGGACGCAGCTCTACATTCGGCTTCACGGTCTCTTTCTTCGGTAGTTGGGGCTCTTCAGGCTTCTTCGCGACAGGATTCTTGGTCAATTTTGAGGCCAAACTGGCTTGCAAAGCCGATGGATCCACTTTCACCGCTTCTTTCGGAGGAGGAAGCCCCGCAAGAAGACCTCCAGCGCTACTACCCGCCTTCTGATTGGGAGATGGAGCGTCAGGCGTGTCTAGTAAGTCTCCATTCAACCCAGCAGCACTCATCTTCATCTTCACTTGCTCAGCCGGCATCCCCATCTTCACCAACTTAAAGAACTTCTCATACGCCAGGTCTTCCTTCACAGTCATCACCTGATTCGACGTCGTTGCAGGCGCTGAGCCACCAGATCCAGGCATCGGCGCATCCGGCGTATCCAGCAGGTCTGGATTCAAGCCGCTCGCACTCATTTTCAGCTTGATCTGCTCCGAGGGCATCCCCATCTTCAAAAGCTTGAAAAACTTCGCATACTGCTCGTCATCCTTCACCAATGTGCCACCCGATGTTGCAGGAATTGACGCGCTAGCGGTACTCGGTGCAGCACCTCCAATAATTGCTTCTGGGTCGTCAAGAACTGCCGGATCCACGCCTGCAGCTTGCATTTTCAACTTCACCTGTTCGGCCGGCAGTCCCATCGTCAGCAACTTGAAGAACTTCAAGTACTCCGGATGATCTTTCGCAGCGACGCCCATTCCGTTGCTTGCTGTTGCCTTTTCTGCTGCTGGCTCCGACGCTGCTTGAGTAGCTGGTTTCGACACATTACTGTGGTTCATCTGAGCTTCAGCTGCGGCAGTTGCAGCAGCCGCTGCAGCCGCCGTAGCCTCCGACACGGCACGGGCGTGTTCCTCCTCCCTCTCCAGTCGACGACGCTCAGCGTCCGAGACTTTCCGCTTAAACTTCTCCACACGACTACGCAGCTTCTCGTTTTCAGTCTGCAATTGCGCGACGAGTTCTTCATACTCTTTGGTCTTAGTCGTAGCATCGATATCTGTTTCCGGGGTTTCCTCCGCCTCCGCTTTCTTCTCCATCGCTACAGTATCTTCGGGCTCTTGTTCTGTAGGCGCGTCATCTTCCGACCCATCCGTCGGTTCGGTGGGGGATCCACTGTTCTCGTCGATAACCATAAGATTTGACCCCAACGAGTCTCGGAAGCCTCGATTGCCTCGATCTACTTCGGTCCCCACACCATCCACACTCACAGGCGACATGACCTGTTGCCGCACAGATGTGCCGCATTCAATACAGAATTTGACTCGTGGTGGCAACTCGTAGCCACATTCGATGCAAAACTTGGCCGTGCTAGTCAGCTGTCAATCAATAAAAAACATCCGACAGTTAGAACATGAAAAAAAAACACCTGGTACATAGCCACTTCAGCTTGCTCCAGATCGCACTTACATTCGTTACTTGTGGCGCGTTGTTTGGAGCGAACGACGAGGTCGACGAGAAGCTGCGGCGCTTGCTCACAGTGGGTCGGGAGCCTGTGATCTCGAGCGTAGCGTCGTCGTCCAGGCAGTCCATACAGTACCATTGCGGCCTCGATCGCTCGGACTTCTTGCGGTCGATGGCTTTGCGCCCACAATCCTTGCAGACGGCGATGTGGCAGCTGCGGCAGTGGTGGCGGCGCCGCAGGATGTTGAACGACTTGGTGCACACACCGCACTCGGGCTCGCGCGCGAACACGTCGTCTGGCGCCATGCTGAGTCTACTGCCGATGGATGAACGCGAGCGCGACGTGGTGGGCGTCGCGGCGGGGCCCAAGCCGTCGGCGTTCGTGGGCGACACCAGGCCTCGGTCCATGAGCTCCTTGATGCGGCTTCTTATCTGACTCTGGAGCGGCGTTCTCCCTCGGGATGTATGAACTCTCGCAGGTTTTGTATGCGTTTTCAGGCGTTTGACGCATGTCGCAGGATTTAGAGTACTTGTCCAACGTGCGGCAAGTTGTTGCCAACAAGTTGTTGAACAACCCATGATGACGGCAATTTCGTTTTGCCAGCACTGGACGCTTCTGACAGGATGTTGCTGGGGCGGAACTGCCCTGTCGGCATTGTCGACTCAGCAAAGGAAGAGCGGACTGCAACTGTGGAGGAGCTCGTGGCGTAAGCGCGTGGAGCAATTGTCTACATGGGATGGCACCTGCAACTTGCAGGCTGCAAGCGAGGTTTCACGAGATGTTGCTGTTGCGGCCAGCAAAATGCTGCTGCGACAAAAGGACGGCAGCGAGCCGTATCATATCCTTTCGCTGTCCACATTCTGCTTACCGACAGCATTGCGAGCGAGCCGCAGCCTTGGTGTCGAGTTGTTGGTCAGAGGCCTTTCTTCGCACTGCTCTACGTGCTCTCTCTGGGCACGAAGTGCTCGAAACATGGAAACATGAATTGGAGCTTTGATAATGGCATCGCCTGTAGGTATGCATTATTGCATAGTGCTTTCTTTCTCCTTTCGAATTTTTTTTTAGGATATAAAGCACTTCACCCATAAGCATTTTCGTAGTGGCCTTGCGACTGCAAGTTGCCAGTTTCAACTCAACTGACACCCCCACCTATGCCAGTGCTCCTGGCCCTGGTTGATGTGACGTTTTGTAGTGCAATCACAGCCAACCGTTTTGCCGATGCCTTATTAGTCGACAGTCGACTCGACACCCTGCACGGTCCACCCTGATGGGTCACCTTTGCAGCCTTTGGAGACGGGGAAGCCTTGCGGCGCGAAAGACGGGCAAGGCTAACACGAAGAGCTTGTTTTAGTAAAATCTTGATCCTCCATTAAGCTTATTAATAGTGTGTACCTGTATCACAAGATTACTTCTTGCAGACTGGTCTTTCTCTTCAACAAAACTGTTGCCAATCATTTTAAGCAGGTAAACCCTGCATTTTCGCTCAGCAACTTTCCCAGGAATAGAATTGCGCCTAAGCAGCGGACACAAAGCGCTCATCCACTTTAGCTCGTCAACATGCTGCTCACGTTCCTCGAGAAGCTTCCGCTGAGCCAAGGCGGCAAGGTGTTCGTTGGCACGTCTCTCTGCCTGGCCATCTGCGCGTACCCCGTCATCCGAAAGCGTGCGTTGTAGTTTGATTGTCCGTGTTAGCTTTTGCGGTGGCTGAATCATTTTGTTTGTCTTCTGTTTCTGTAGAGCAAAAGGCTGGCCACGACCTCTTCTCGTCCGAGCGACCGCAGGACATCGTGGATCAGGAGGTCAAGGCTCGCCGTGAGAAGCTTAACATCAAGTAGAGCCTTCAGGTCTCAATGGATGCAGTCTTGTTCGAATTCATTTTTTATCTGAAACTACTGTAGTCGCTCTGTGGGATAGAAGGAAGTACACTCATGTTCCGCAGGTCCTTCTATTGTATCGTATGAAGCATGGCACAATCGTTCTAACAGCTGAGAGAGACACCGCTGTAGCGGCGTTTCACTAAGTCAAGCATTCTTGCGGCACTTTAGGCCTGCAGAGCGATGCTGAGTTGCAGGGCCAGTAAGTTGTAGCAGATCCAACGGCAATTGTCCCGAATAGCTGCTAGATCGTTGTTTGCTTGATCTAGAGCTGGAACCTGCTGCTCTTTTCCTGGGTGTTGATTAGAATTTTGGTCTGAAGAAGTTGTAGTTGAGGCTTCAATGAAATCGATGGGCTCAATGGAGTCGTACGGGCCAGCTCTTGGTCGTGAGCACATCCACCTGGGCACTGAGGTCAATCATTGGTTGCTCTGCAGGAGCCTCTTGTTGTCGCTCGCCGTGCACGGTGTCACTGGAATCAGAATGGTGGGGCGATGACACAGATTGGAAACGTAGCTATCTTTTAATTTGACGATATAGGCGAGCCAGCAGCGACAAGACTTTCGATGAAGAGCTAGGTAGCTACTGTATTGTGGTCTTGGTTTAATAATACAAGTCTTCCCGCGCATATAAGTAAGCGGTATCTAAACGGTGCTTTCAGTATCAGTGTAAAAAGCATAGGTGTAGATAATTGGTACTCCACCTAGCACCCCTTTGATCAATATTTTAAGATTTTTTAATGGATTATTGGCGGAACTCTCTCTACCAGGTCGAGAGATTTCAATCTCAACCTGGGCAATGCTTTCGATAGATCTCGACCAAATTGGCAACGTCGCGGCTTGAATGTGTTCGTACCACGGGCGCGCGGCACATTGGACAGTGGGGGTTCCACCTAAGAACCTCAGTTAGCGCTTCTCTTGAAAAGGTTTTGCCGCAGCATTCGGTCACCACCGGGTTCTCAAACAACTCGTAAGAAATTGGGCACGTGAGTGCTGCCTCTTGCTCGTCCAGAAATCGGCAGTTCTTGTCCCGAAAAGTGGTTAGGTCGTCGTTTGCTTGGTCCAGTGCGTTCTGTAGCGCTAGCATCTTCTGTTTTTGTCTTGCATTTCGACTCGGAAATGGCGCTGTAGTCGTCGTGTCCTCCGTGAGGTCGATGAACTCAGTAGGCTGAGGAATCGTATGGGCGCCGTGTTCACGCGCGTCGGTATCCGTCTGAGCGGTGAGATCGACCACCGTTTCCTGTTGCTGCGAGTTCATCTGTGTCAAAATGGCGGAAGTAGATAAAATACAAAATGCTCATGTTCGAGGACAAATGTAATTTTACGATAGTTAAGTTTTGTAAAACTCAGGCAAAATGGCTACATCATGTTGTACGATGACACTTGGACTTTAAACTGTCCTGGCCCTTTCTTGAGTAGATAACACTCGTTGCGTAGGATGTCAACGAAGTCACGGAAGTCGTCCACCTTGAGTCCCATACTGTCAGCAACTTCCAGCAAGTCGTCCATTGAAAACAACGAAGTGTTGCGTCTGGCTGCAGCCTTCATGAGTCTTGCAACGTAGGCCTTGACCTTCTTGCTCAGACTCATTCCTCCGCTACGTCCGAAGTCCAGATTCCCATCCTCGGTGATGTACGTGTCCAGCAGACATTCTTGCATGATGTCCACGACGTCTTGTGCGTGTTCCGCCGATACCGTTTCAGCAAGTTCGGCTCGCGCACGAGCCTGAGATAGACGAATCATCGACTCGAGTTGACGTGTAGTGATCGGAATGCTGTCCGTTGGATTCTGTTGTCCTTCACCCGCTGAACGCAGCTCCAAGTACTTCTTCTGAAGTACTGCAGCAGCCTCAGAGGACAGTCGTGGGTGTACGTAGCGACGAGCGTAGGCGATGAACTTACGCACGAAATAAAGGGGAATCGGGTTCATGCTGTACTCGGTTGCGCTCTGACGAAGACGGTGCGACAGCATACGACGCTCAGAGCCTTGAACGCCTTCGTACCCATTCACTGCTTCGTCAGCGTAGCTGTTGGAGCTCCAAGAGGTCGTAGCACTGCTGTCTCGCGTTCGTTTCCTTGACATTCGCTTGCCACGTGCATGAGAACTCATCACGTGCTCTGACAACAGTCGGTCTCTCTCTTCGTCTGGTCGGTCTAGCAGGATAAAGACGAGGTCGAAGCGAGAGAGCAACGCCGCTTTCATTTTGAGGTTTTCTCCCACTGAGCGACTGCGGTCGTAGTGGCCACCACTGGGGTTAGCAGCGGCGATGACTGACGTCCGTGCATTCAAGTTGCAGACGATTCCTGCTTTGGCGATGCTGATGCTTTGCTGCTCCATAGCTTCCAGTAGCGCCTGATAGTCGATGCCCATCTTATCGAACTCGTCGATACAGCATACACCCTGGTCTGCCAGAACGAGAGCTCCAGCTTCCAGCGCGTAGTCACCAGAGCCGTCCTTCACCATCGTGACGGTCAATCCCGTGGTTGTTGTTGTGTTTCCACCGACGTAGACAGCACGTGGCGCTACCATTGACACAGCTCGAAGCATCTGACTCTTGCCCAGACCGGGGTCTCCAACAACCAGCACATGGGAATCAGCTCTGCGTACACACGTGGTGTCTTTGTCGTCCGAATTCCGAGTCCCACCGAGTAAAGCCAGGATCAATCCCGCTTTTACGGTATCATTACGGTATATACCCGGACACAGCGAATGCACGAGGTGATCGAAGACGGCGCCCTGGTTGACGATGTGGCTGATTTGCTCCAGATCTTCCTTGGTGAAGTCAATGTCCGATGCTCGGTCTTTATCCTTATCCACCTGAGAAAGCTTGAGGTTAAAATATACAACAACAAGAACAATTAAATTTGCTCACCTTAGCCGAGTTTTCCACCGAGTTGGCGCTGATGTATAGAATATAAAGACTGTTTGCTTGTGCACGCTTGCCATATCTCCCTTCATGAATCTCCGAGTTGATGCTTTTGACAATTCCGGATATTGTCACCACGTTTCCAGGGATGCACGAGTCCACAAGGTCTTCATACAGTTCCACCTCGATCTACAAACCACATTAGTAAATTGTAGCTCCATCACCAATACGTATTAAAAATACTTCACCATTCGTGGCATGCGACCTGGACCCACATCTGTTGTCTCCATTTCCTGCAGTCTAAACGTCAACAAGAATCAGCGTCTATCGAGTACATTAGCCACCTTCCTCCCACTCACTTAATTTTCTGGTAGTCCACGGTATCTACCGACGATCGATTCGGTAGTAACGTTCGTCCTCGACACGGCGAGTTCTCACACCTTTGCGGCGGAAGAAACTTCCCATCTGGGAACGATCGCGACGTGGCTTCGTTGCACTTGGCACACACAAAGTCGCACCTCGTGACGAGTGGCTTAATGGCACTCACTCTCACCACTGTCCCCACGACACTCACGAACTGGTTCACCACATCCGATTTCAACGCTGCAATGGGCAGTACTGGTGTCACTCCATGTAGGCGAACGGTGATCTTCGTACGATCCACTGGCATGCTGCGCTTCCTAGCGATATCCTCTTCTGCCTCCACTCGAAGTTCATGACGACGCATGCAAAGTGCAATACCGAGACAAAGCAGCACGTCCTCAATGTTCTCGGTTACTGCTCGCTCAAAGTCTGCTGTCCCGGTGCGGATAAGTTCCGTGTAGTGCAGCCACACCACTGTCACGTTCGCCTGCGTCAAGTCACACTAGCACAATAACCGCTGTTACCACAGCAATGCCATATTTTTAATTTTGTAGATGATTTGCGCATTACTTGCAATAGTGGCGCCCATTGCTCGCCGTCGCGGAAGCAGTTTAGGAACGTCATGGACGCTTGGAAACGACCGTCGGTGTCGCTGATGGGGCTGTAGTATTGAGCTGAGCGGGTCTCACCAGGTTGCCGGATGCCGATGTTATGGTCCTCTGGGTAATATTGGCTCCATACACACGTAGCAGCCTCCACGAGGCTGCTTGGGGACGAGCCATACTGACGCATGCTAGGAATTGGAAATGATGGAATCAGGCAAAAACACGAATTGATTATCTGATTCTGATAGTAAAAGATGAGTATAACTTTGGTACTGTTTTTAGAAAACAATTAGCAAGTAAACTTGATCGTTTGACAATTTTTTTATTGTTCGCAGTACATACACTCACGTAGTAGCAAAGAGCAGAGCTTAGTGCCAATAAACAGTGCAGCATCCAGCGGCAGTTATTCAAAATTGCGCCAATTCGTTTTTTACTAGACCGACTCCCCCAGGACTTGTTGAAGTTCACTCCACGAAGTAAATGTTTCGTGAGCTGCGCTTGACTGCCGGTATCGAGCAATGCGTCGTCTCGCTCCAGGACTCCCATGCTCCTCCAGCCATCGCGCAAAATCATTCAGTAGATCAGAGTGGGAATATGGCACCGCAAAGCGAAAGAACGAGCTCTTCGACCTGGCTCAGAGATCTGACCAACACGCGGTGACGCTGTTAGATATACATGTATTTCAGACTCTTGATTTGGTTAAGTACTGGATCTCCAACAAGAAGCAGTCGATCTTCCTTGCAGTCTTTGACTCCGACGCTCTTGTCGAGTGCTTTCCCGTAGGCTGTCACTGTCTCGTCGACTTCTGCGACCGCATCGTGCAGGGACGCTTCTTTTCTCAGTAGTATAAGTACCGCCTTCAATTGGATGAGCTGGTTGGTTATTGAACACATTGTCGAGCATGGAATACTCCGAGCGATGAAGCTGTACGAGAATCGACATGTCATGATTCGGATGGATGCGCACGTCACTCTCGCTGCACAGTGGGCAAACTGAGCTTCGTTTAAGCGACTGCATCAACGCTTGCGAGGAGAGCGTTTTGCCACAGCATTCAGTTACAACGGGGTCGACGAACAGGTCGCGAGAGATTGGACACGTCATAGCTGCCTCACGATGGCTTCGGTGAGCTGCTACAGCATTGCTCGCTTGCTCCAGCAGCTGAGCTCGTTCGTGCTCGAATCCACAAAGTTGCTCATTTAAACGCGCGCTTAGAGCTACATCATTGATTTCATTTGTTACGGTAGTGCCAGTATCGTTCTGCATAGTGGCTTCCCTTTTCTCTTGGCTGCAGGTATAAACACTTGGTACATTTTCATCCTTCAGACGCATTTCGAACAGGTCCCTACTCCTCTGAATTCGCTCGCGAATCTTCTGTTGCTCAGCCAATTGAAACACAATTTCCGTAAGGGCTGCGTGTTGCTTTCGAAAGTGCTGTTCTTGCTTCTGGGCATGTTCTTTTAGCGCCTGTTCGCACTGCTCTCGTGCTTCTTCACTGCGAGTTTCACGTTGCAACTGGTCAACACGTTCGTGTTGCTCCCGAAGCTGTTGGACTTGTCTCTGTATATGAGCTCTAAACGCTTGTTCGCGTTGATTTTGCTCTTGTCGACTGCCAATCTCGAGCTTCAACTGGTCTGCACGCTGGTGTTCTTTTCGATACGCACTCAAAGCTTCGTTTAGTTGCTGTTGTAAGTAGTTGCTTGTTGCTTCTTTCAGTTGCAGTGTCTTTCCCCGATTCGCAACATGTTGCATGAGGTGGAATTGTCTCATCACAGACGACTTCGAAGATGTTGTTCGAGATCCTTGACCTGTTGCTCGAGGAAATTAATTTGCTCGTCATGGTCAACCTGCAAAAGAAAGTTGATAAAGACTTGTTATAAATAACCGAGCAGCTAGTAATCCGAGTCCGAGCCCAAATATCCTTGGTGAGCATAGGCGTAAAAGTTGAGCTCGCTATCTCTAGGCGCGCGACCGTAGCGTGGACTGCTTGACTGGTTTGGAGCGGAATTCGAGCTTGACCTCAGCTGCAAGTATGCATCCAGCGACGACGTCGGGTTTAAATAAGTAGCACTTGACCCATATCCATATCCCTGAGTCGAGCCATATCCTGCACTACCACTTCTCGTCATTGACGACTGAGAAGCGGCATTGCCAGATCTCCCATTCCAAACAGGGTATTGCTCTCCACTCAATCGAGACGCGCTACCTGACGAAGTGGGTCCCGCGTCGGTACTTGAGATCGTATGATGAGCTGGTTGAGAGGCAGCAGCTGGGGTAGATGAAGAGCTTGACCGCGAGTTACGACGTTGACGTGAGTTCCTCCCTCCACGACGTCGCCCCCTGGAGTTTGACCCAGTACTGGGCAACGCGTCACTTGGCGAAGCATCAGATGGAGCTGTGGACGACTGGCGATGAGGAACACCAGCACGAGCTTGAGCTCGCTGACTGCGTGCGTTTCGGTTCTGATTCTCGCGAGCTGCTGAAGTCGTCAGCAAGACACGATCTCCGCCCAACGCAGTGGATCTTCCTGTGTCTATCGGCCCCTCTTCACTACCCAGGACAGTAGCAGAAGACGTGGCTGCAGTATTCTCAGACAAACCAAGCAACGAGCGCTGTGAGCGGTGAAGTTCCACTAAGTTTGCCACATCACGGTTAGCATGAGTCAATACTCGATGTGCACGACACACGGGGCACTGAGGATTTCGCCTCAGCGCTTGAGTTAGCGCCTCGGACGAAAAAGTCCTGCCGCAACAAGTAGTGAGCACCGGGTTCTCGAACAAATCCAGCGAAATCGGACACGTGAGCGCCGTTTCCCTCTCCGTACAGTTCTTGCGGCTGATATCCTGCTGCGTCTTCGCTGCGTCACTTGCTTGCTCCAGAAGTTGAGCTCGTTCTTCGTCGAATGCAGTCCGCAGCTCGTTAAGGTGTCGAGTTAGCAGCTGGTTTGAACAGGTTTCGCCAGTTATTGTGACTGTTCTTGTTGAAGTATCTTGCCGTGGATCTAAATACTGTCCTTGCTCTTCATCGTAAGCCGCTAGTAAGCCTCGAAGGGACGAGTTCAGTTCCGCTTGAGCCGTTGCCTGCTGTTGCCGACGCACTCGCTCTTGCTCCAATTCTAAGCGTTGCTGTTCCAGTTGCTTCTCAAGACGCTCGATCGTAGCTTCCTGGACCGTATTACTTTGCTCAGCTCTCTCCTGCGTCTCACAAACTCTTTGCTGGTCAGTAATAAACTGCTCCAGACGACTGACGGCCTCGTTCTTGCGTTGAAGACTTCGTTGCGTCTGATGGCTCGGCCCTCGGCCCCGGTACCGCTGATTGAGAATGACGCCGAGATCTAACAGGACGGACTTGGACTCCTCTGCTAGATCCACAAACCGCGCCGAGTGCTGCGTGTGGCGCTGCTGCCCGCGCATCTTCCTTTTTTTATTTTAAGCAGCTTAAAAGCTACCTAAATTCCCTCCCCAAGTGGTACCGGTTTTAATATTAGGCTTTGCCGAGATTGTTTTGCTTTTTTTTAAATTAAATTAAAACTTCCCTTTTTGTTTTTCAACAGCGTTAAAGCTACCTAAATTCCCTCCCCAAGTGATACCGGTATTAGTAATTAGGATCGTTTTGCTTTTTTTTTTAATTAAATTAAAACTAATGCGGTTTACATGAATAAAACTTGCTTTATTAATTTCAGGTAAAGCGATTGTGGGACCTTTTTACATGTAGGTATTACAGCTCAGTACTACTTCGTACAGAAATCCCTCACAATAACCGTAGGGGGTCGTCTGATTAATTTGCATGGGAAAGTAACAGCGGTCCTTGTACATGTTCCCCATTTCAGAAAATCCGATTTAATGGGGTATATAAAGTAAAATCTACGCTCAGGGGGACTTCTGCTGTACATAATACCTAGTTTTCGTAAATTCGCTCAGCGAATCTACAAAAACTTTACGAAAACTAGGTATTGTGCTTGACGCTCGATTTAAATTAAAAAGAGGTCGTTTTATTAAAATCAAGGCCTATAAAAAGTACAAATTGATTTAGCTAGATAAGTCGATTAAATCGACCGCTGGCCATCAAGTCTACATCGATGTCCAGTAAATCGACCTTTTTGCCGCTTTGAAAAGGTAATTCGATCACAGATAAAAAAAATCGTCTTCACATCTCACTGGTTTTATGTTCTGACCGTGCCCAATATATCAATACGCAATAAAACGGAGGGACATCCCATCTGCAAAGCACAATAACATTTTGTTAGTAGATAGACGGGCGATCTTGAATCTTTTGTTTGGTATTGTGACGGGGTCACACAGCACCTTGCGCTAGAGGAAGTTATCTTCCGAGAGTATACAAACTCTCAGTGAACGGCAGTTCACTGGTCCCCTCTTTAATTAAAGAGAGCGAAGTGACCTAAATAAGGTAGATTGTAAACTGAGTATATTTATAGGTAGGTTAAGCTTGTGGTTAATACAAACTATCAGTTACCTATAGAAATGCAATGTCATTTAACCAATGGTTGGTTTTGAATGACCTTGGTACCTTGTACCAAATATCCCGGAGTATGACATGTCATACTCCTGAAGTGTGAAGTGTCACACTTCATGTAACCAGGGTACTCTTAGTGCTACGTACCCCGTTACATCCTCCCCCACTTAGGTTCGGTTTACCGACCAATCAGAATGAAGAGATGTTCGTCACAAACTCTCATTCTCAAAGTCGAAAACCATCGACTCGGCCGCGCGAGCGCGGCGGAGGCTCACTTTACAGTTAGAGCCTCGAGCAGCAACCTGTGCGCTCTTCGTCAAGGTCTCCACTTCGACCGTTAACATGCCTCGTGGCACTGCTAAGAGCGGTGCTAAGACACGCTCCAAGGCTGCAGCCGGTAAGGCGCAGGCCAAGAGCACTAAGCCTCACGGCAAAGGCTCTGCGCTCAAGGAGGCTACTCAGGTGGCCTCCGAGGCGATCGGATCCTCGGGTGACGCGGCTGCGGGCAAGCGCGCAAGCAGGCGCCGCAGTCCGTCGCCCTCGTCTTCAGACAATCGTCCGAACCCTCGGTTCGTAGAACATGAGTTCAACTCGGGCAGTGAGGACGATGCCGAGTTCGAGAGCACTCATGATGCTCCTGCGGGCTCTGTGGGAGGGCACAGCCCAGTGCCCAGTGAGCACAAAGAAGACAGCGTGCAGTCGTCCGCTAGTGATCACGGTGATCACAGTCCCAGGACCTCTGTGCGCTCTGAGAGTCCGGCCGTTAAGGCTAAGGGCACTCCCAAAGCCGGTGGCGATGAGGAAGGGAGTCCTCGCAAACGTCTCTCGCTTGCCGAGGGTCTTGCGCGCGCTAAGGCCTCTAAAGCCGAAGGCGCCAAGCCCTCAAAGAAGCGTACCGCCTCTAAGTCTCCACTCCGCGAGGAGAAGGAGACTCGACGCTCCTATCAGAGTCTCTTCGGCTCCTCGGATGAAGAGGAGGAGAAGGAGGAAGAAGAGGAAGAGGAGGGTGCCATTGTTGAGCCCCGGGAGGTCTCGAATGACCTCGACCAGCAGCAGGAGGATTTCCAAGCTGCCCAGCGTGTGCGTGGGGGTTCGGTGGCGGCACCCGTCAGCCAGGGAGCTGCCATCAACTCAAGAGGGTATTGGCCTCCCGAGGAGAGCTCTGGGGCTGACCTCTTCTTAGAGCTTTTCGTCGCCCCTCGTGGCCTTGTGGGCGGCCACACGTCTAGGGGCATCTATGAACGAGCCCTTGTTCAGAAAGAACAGTTGTTCGTCGACAACGTGGAGGCTGCTCGGTGTGTGCTTCTCGCGCCACACCGCATTCCCCTTAAGGACTTCACGACTTGTCGTAAGAAGCCCGAGACCCGGGGTGGTCTCTATCCTGTTTGGGGATACCCCTGGGTTATGCCCGAGAACTGTCCCACATGGAGTTCTTGTGAGGACATGTTCTGGGCGTGGGTGGAGACTCTCAAGTACTCGCCCACGGAGTTATGGGAACTCCATGAAGATCAGCAGCTGTCCCACATCCTGGACCAGCGTGATCTTCGTGTGAGGTTTGCCCACTTGATCAGCAAGCGTATGCTGCCAAGGGACATCCTGAAGCGCGCGGCTTCTAGCGCTCACGATGAGCGCGGGTACGGTATGTATTCATCATCCGTACCCCGTTCGGGCAAGAAGCCCCGGACTACTTATGAAGCTGCCGCCGCTTCTGTTCCCAGATTGCGACAGCCTTCGGGCAGTCAATCAGGAGCCGTTCAATCGGCTCCCACGAGTTCTCGGAGTGGGCATAACCCCTCCACTTCACGAGGAGCTGTCGCTTCCCGCGACACCGTTGCTCCTGGAGGATCCGCTCCACGTGGAAGTGGACTTCTCCATTCCGGTCAAGCAGGGGCGGAGGTGCCCTCGTACGAGTACGAGTACTCGGCGCCTCCCGAGAGCCACTCTCGTTCGAGTGCTCCGACTGCGGGTCCGACACGGGACCCTGAGGTTGACCGCCTCCGTCAACGTCTCCTCGTGCTTGAGATTGCACTTGGCCTTGGGACTGGCGGTAATGCTGCCGCCCAGGCCGGGAATCAGGGCGAGCTCGCTCGTCTTGCGGGTCGCCTGGACCTGGTGGAGCGAGAGGTCGCGAGCCTGCACCTGCGGGTGGACCGCCGGGCCTCTTCGTTCGATCTGGACGAGGCCTTTCGCATGATTCGACGGATCAAGGCTTTGTTGCCACGTCCGGAGCCGCCTGCGGCACACTCCCAGACGTACGCGTATGGTGCGTACCCGGCGTACTCAGCGTACTCGGCGTATGGCGCCGGGGTCCGTTCGTATGGAGCCCCTCCGGCGTACGGTCTTGACCGCAGCCTTGCCGTCCCGACCGAGGCTTGGGTGCCTGCTCCGACGCCCTCGTCGACGACTGTGACCGGCCCTCGCTTCGAGGAGCTGGGTCAAGGGGGGTCTGCGAGTCAGCAACCCCCTGCGGGTCAAAGTACCGCTTAAGACGTCCGACATAGAACGTCGGGTGCGTCGTCATTGACTTTGGAAGGTCGATGGTGTACGACGCACCATGTCTGGCCAGGACTGCAAAAGGTCCGATGAAGCGGTGCTTCAGCTTGTTGCTGCCGACAGAGCTGACAGTGTCTAGCGGTAGGTTCCTCGTGTCTAATAGCACTAAGTCCCCCACTTTAAATACACTTAAGTTTCCTCTTCCATGTTTGTCTGAGTACTCCTTTTGTCTATCCTGGGCCGCTGCCATGGCATCGCGGACCCTGCTGACAATGTTCAGCTTGGTATCCATAAAGGATTCCACCTGTTTCCGCAGCGAAACTGGCCTCACATCCGAGACCTGGGAGGAAAGGGCTTTCCGAGCCTCTCCCCCACTTAGAATAGAGGAGTCAGTGTTTCCTCGAAGAGTGAGAGGCACTCTGGGGTGGCGGAAGCCGTTCAAGTAGAACGGCGTGAACCCCGTGGACGCGTGCACCGCGTTGTTGAGCGCAAACTCAACAACTGGAAGCTGCGTCGACCACGTACGTGGCGCTGCCGCGCACACACTGCGCAGAGTGTCCTCGAGCACTCGATTGACGCGCTCTGTTTGGCCGTCTGTCTGCGGATGATCCGCAGTGGACATCTGCAGACGAGTTCCCAGTAAAGGGAACAGCGTTTTCCAAAACGCAGCAGTGAACCGCGGGTCTCGGTCCGAGACAATCGTCTCCGGGAGACCGTGATAGCGGAACACGCCATCGACGAACAACCTTGCGGTTTGTTCGCCCGTCACAGTGACGGGAACTGGAGCAAGATGTACCATCTTGCTCAGCCGACACACGAACACCAAAATTCCGGTGTTGCCGTGTCCGTCGGCGGGAAGCCCAAAGATGAAGTCAAGACTCATCGACTTCCAACAATCAGCCGGTACGGGCAGGCTCTGTAGTGGAGCCGAAGAGTGCCCTGCGGGTTTAACCCGCTGACATGTTTCACATGTCTTGACGTACCGGGCGACCCACTTGTACATGTGGGTCCACCAGAAGGACTGAGAGACCGACAGAAAGGTCTTCTCGCGGCCCAAGTGGCCGCTGGAGGGCGCGTCATGCGCCTCCGCGAGGATGTCGAACTTCCGATCCTCGTCGTTGGGTACAACCACCCGTGGAGGATCAGTGGGCTCTACCCGATAATAGAGGAGGCCCTCCTTCAACTCATATCGGTGGAGCCGTGAGCGCTGTCGCGACGAGAGCCAGTCGGACTTCGCGCTCGTTCCGGCCTTAAGGAACTTGACGATAGGCGCGACAGCCTCATCGTCCCGATACGCCATGCGTATCCGATCATATAGATCCGTTGTCACCCGCGTGATGTGGGCCAACTCATAGTCGGGACGCCTAGAGAGGGCGTCCGCAAGCACGTTGAGCTTGCCCGGCTTGTACTCGACGCGGAAGTTATATTCCGCGAAGAAGGACAGCCACCTCGCCATCCGTTGGGAGAGGTGAGGCGAGTTAGTCGCCGTCCTCAAGGACGCGTGGTCTGTGTAGATCACAAAGGGCGTAGAGCCCAGAAGGTGAACACGGAACTTCACAAGGGCATATTTCATTGCCAGGAGCTCCTTGTCATGGACAGGGTAGTTCCGCTCGGCGGCTTTGAGCTGCCTGGACTGGAATGAGATGACTCGTTCCTGTCCAGCCGTGTCGTCCTGCAGCAATGCACACCCGATGGCGTAATCGGAGGCATCGCAGACGACGCTAAACGGCTTCGTCTCGTCCGGCAGAGCCAGGACAGGGGCCTCTTGGAGACTGGCCTTGATGCTGTCAAAAGCATCCTGGTGCTCTTGCTCCCAGCGCCAGTCGACGTCCTTCTGAAGGAGGCTCGACAAAGGCTTAGCGAAGCCCGCGTACCCAGCGCTGTACTTGTGAAGGTAGTTGGCCAAACCCAACCACTTTCGAAGATCCTTCTGGGATCGGGGCGTCGGCCATGCTGCTATGGCCTTGACCTTGTCTGGGTCAGCCCGAACGCCCACGTTGCTTACGAAGCAACCGAGAACTTTGATCTCTGGTGACGCGAAAACGCACTTGTCGATGTTGGCGTAGAGCTTGTTCGCTCGCATCACGTCCAACACTCGACGGAGGTGTCCTAGATGCACCTCCATGGCCGTCTTGCCTCCCTCGGCACGGCTATGGACGAAAATGTCGTCGAAGTACGTCTGTACGAAGGTACGCAAAGGGCGGAACAATTGCGTCACCAGGCGATTGAACGTCGCCGGGGCGTTAGACAAGCCCTGCGGCATGACGAGCCACTCCCAAAGCATGCCGCTTGGAGTGCTTACCGCGGTGAGCGGGATGTCACTCTCTCGCATCAGGATTTGGTAGTATCCGTCTACCAAATCCAGCGCACTGTACAGTACGCTCCCGGCCATGTTGTTCAACAACACATCCTTTCGTGGGATCGGTGTTTGGGCCGGCACCGTTGCGTTGTTCAGCTTGTTATAAGCGTGAACCAGACGCCACTTTCCGTTCGGCTTACGAACGCAGAAAGTCGGCGTCGAGTGCGGGGATTTCGACTCCCGCACCATGCCTGCCTTCGCTTTCGCGGCGAAGAAGGCATCAATGACCTCGCACTGTTCGCGCGGGAGAGGCCATTGCCTCGTGACACAATACTTTGTGCCGGGCACGAGATCAATCTCGTGCCGTACGCCTCGATCCGGTGGGAGTTGGGTCGGTGGGTGTTTATTCACCACGTCCGCATACTCCGTCACCAAAGGATACACCGGATCCTTGGGGTTCTTGAGAATCTCAGAACCCAAGCGCGCCTGACGCTGCTTGTTCATGTCTTCCAGGACGTTCTCGTCCAAGACAGAGGAGGAGTTCAGCTCCTCCTGAGTGGTCTCAGGTCTTATGAGTACCATCTCAGCGATCTCTCCAGCCTTGAGGTTGGCCAGGAAAGACTCAGCCGTCATTTCCTCGAGGTTCAGTATCTCTGCAACCTCTGGCAACTGTTCCAAGTGGACACCAGATGCCTTGACGGGTAAACCCGTCTCGCTATCGAAGATGTAATAGCACTCTTCCACCGGCCTTGTCGGAGGAGCCCGGGCCCTGGACTCCGAGTCGCTTGAAGCGACGTCGATCGGAACGAAGTTCGGATCCGACTTGAGGCGGCGGCGGCGTCTTTGCCGACGGCTTCTGTGACGGGGAGCTTTGCTGCCCACGTCTAGGGATGTCGTCGCTACGACATCCGAGGCACTCGTGGCCTCGTGTGGTACTGTTGTACCCACACAGGAAGCGTGTTCAACGCCTTCCTCTTCAGTTAAGGTCTGGGCGACCGCGTGTGGCACTGTGTTACCCACACAGGAAGCGTGTTCAACGCCTTCCTCTTCAGTTATGGTCTGGGCGACCGCGTGTGGCACTGTGTTACCCACACAGGAAGCGTATCCGACGTCTTCCTCTTCAGTTATGGTCTGGGCGACCGTGAGTGGAACTCTGTTACCCACTCTGAACACGCTGTTCTCAGTGTTCATGACAGCTGCAGCTGTCTGCGGAACTAAGTTACCCGCCTGTGGACCTAAGTTACCCACTTGGCCGGCGCCTCTTCTGGGCGCGGCCACCATCAAAACATCCTCGGAGTCGTCATATACGTCGACCACTCCCAGCATCTGCCGGATGCTTTGGTACCCTGGCAGCCCTCGCGGCGCCCCGGGTCCTGACAGAGGTGGGAACATGACTCACTAATGCTCTGTCGGACTGCGCAGGGCGGCTGGCACCGATTGCCTTGCCTCGCCAGTCGATCCAGGGCTCGTGCTTCTCAAGCCAGGGCATGCCCAGGATCATATCATATGGATCCATATCGAGAACAGTGAACTGTTCGAGGCTGTCAAAGTCTTCAAACTTGACAGCCAGATCCACTTGGACGTTGGGGACAGTGACGACCTTCCCGTCGGCCAGTCGCACTGACACCGTCCCGTTGCCCTTGCTTTCTCGCAAAGCTTCGGACAACTTGTTGCTGTTACGAGCAACCGTCTGGCGGCGTGCGAAATTCTTCGACGCCCCAGAGTCAATCAAGATTCTAAAGGGGTGATCGTACCCCCGTACACATCCGTGTACTACGAGCAACCCGCCGCTGCTCTTCGCCGATTCGAGAGTGCGAAGACTCTCAGGGGCTAAGTCCCCGTGGTACACGCCACCCGCGCACCCATCACGAAGACTTAGTTCTTCCCCAGTAGGGCGCCCCGCCCCTACTGGTTCCCTGCGTTCCCCTGTCCCCGGGATCCTGGCTTCTGCCAGCGACCCTTGAGGACGGGCTTGGGGAAGGACCGTCTGCGGAGTCTTTCCGCGGGGACAGTCGCGCTTGAAGTGGCCCATCTTCCCACAGCCGAAGCAGCGGATGTCACGCTGTTCGGCGGACCCGAGTTCCATGGGAACTGGGTCCGTTGGGGCTTGTTCGACCGGGAGCCGACAAGGACTCCCAGGCCACGCTGAGGCCGGCGTACGCGCCTGGCGATGGCTGTATTCTTCTTGAAGAGCCACTTGAATCGCCTCTTCAAGGGTGTTTGCCTGCACCCGGAACAGCTGAGTGCGTGCGGGGCCCACTCGAAGGCCGTCCATGAACACAGTCATCTTGATGTGTTCATTGAGTGGGTTTCCCACTAGGGACGCCGTGAGCTCCCGTATCTCTTGCACATACTCGTGCAGTTCGCGTCTTCCTTGTTTACACGCGAGGAAGCGCGAACGCTGGCGGTACTCGTAGTTCGCCGGGAGGAACGCGGCTCGGAGCTGTTCGCACAGCTGAGCCCAGGATGTGAAACATCCAGGGGATGTCGCTTCCCGAGTGTACACCCAACTCTTAGCACGACCGCTAAGGTTGGAGAGTGCAAAAGCAACACGCAGTTGCTCGGTCGAGATCAGAGCCGCGTCCATCGCGAGCTCTACTTCTCGGACCCAGAAGTGAAGGCTCTCGCCTTCCTTCCCTTCATACGGCTTTACCTTCAGCCGTATTGGCTTCGGGTGAGGCGGGTTTGCTCCCGCCGCCGGAGCCTGCAGGTTCTCCCGCACATGCGCGATGAGGCCCTGCTCGTACGCGTCGAATGCATTGACGCGCTCGAGCTGCTCAGCCGGTGTTGATACCACCAGGCTCTGCAGGGCCTCCATCCCGAAGATGCCTGCCATCTTCCGAACCGACTCGAACTGAGAGTCGTTCATATGGGAGAAGTCGTTCCTATCCATGGCAACGAACTTCGGAGGTTCAGGTAGTCTACCCGCGATGGCGTGGATTGACTACAAGTGCTACCAAGTGTGACGGGGTCACACAGCACCTTGCGCTAGAGGAAGTTATCTTCCGAGAGTATACAAACTCTCAGTGAACGGCAGTTCACTGGTCCCCTCTTTAATTAAAGAGAGCGAAGTGACCTAAATAAGGTAGATTGTAAACTGAGTATATTTATAGGTAGGTTAAGTTTGTGGTTAATACAAACTATCAGTTACCTATAGAAATGCAATGTCATTTAACCAATGGTTGGTTTTGAATGACCTTGGTACCTTGTACCAAATATCCCGGAGTATGACATGTCATACTCCTGAAGTGTGAAGTGTCACACTTCATGTAACCAGGGTACTCTTAGTGCTACGTACCCCGTTACAGGTATTGTGAATTCCGACCAAATTTGCCGTTTTGGTCCTATTCAGTGAAAAGAGACCTGGCACGGGTTGCTCCTCAAATGGTAGGTATTATTGCTACAAATATACATTACTTCGCAAGAGAATTCCAGATATAAGAAGATTAAGGAGACTCCTGAAGAGCGCTTTATAGGTCAGTGGGCGTGTGCAGCTACAAGGCTCTTAGTTACCACTGACTAAAAGTCTTCGAATGCTGAGAGGCAGCGTTCTGAAGGAGCAGTTTCCATTTTTTTCGGCGCATAAAAAATTACTACTACTTGAAATATGTATGTATCGAGTGAAAACGATTTAGCGCGCCTGCGAAGGGGGAAAATGTGGTGGCAAAACAAGACGTTAGAGCGAGTGCTAGTAAATATTGATAAGAGCTCGTACATGTAATGTATTGCTGTTATCTCACGATCCGGTATTCAGGGCATGATCGTCTAATAATTCTTCACTCTTTTCTGAACATAAGTCATATAGTCTCCCCAGATAAACTTCGCGCGAGAATTCGCATGAATTTTCTGACGATCCACGTCCAGCACCTTCTTGAGGACCTCATCTGGTGCTAACTTGTCCGTGGTATACCACTTGTTGAACTGGGCAGTTTCCAGCTTCTTGGCGGCGCTTTTTGAACTTCTTGAATCCTTTCCCAACAGGATCATTGTCGCCACTTTCTTCTCCCCAAATACCTTTGTAAGTGCAGTGAGCATTGCGTCGTCTGGATTTCCCTTGTAAGTACTGGCAGCATGCTGAGACCAAACCTTGAAATTCTTGCTCGAAAAGAGCTCGACAACTTTTTTCGTCTCGATCGAGCCCGTTTTGGGGTTACCAATGTGCATTGTACTGAGCCCCAACGTTTTAAAGGCATCATCGATATTATCGTCGGCCTTGAGCAATCCCTGGAGCTGGCTCGTCTTTCTCGTCGTAAATGCTTTGGAGATTTTCTCAAGACCTGGGAAACTCACGGATATGCCTCTCTCTTCACCATTTGTGGTGTAGGCTCTCAGAAACCTCGTGGGGGGTGTCTCGATCGCGCGATTTGAAGTGACAGCGAGCGATATCTTTGATGCGTAGGCGGGGTCAGCAGATGCGACAAACACCGTTGTCACCAAGAGGGCAACACGCACGAGGACCATCATTGGGCTTGATGGTCAATTTTTAGGTTTGAGCGGCGGGAGTGAAATCAATTGAAAAATGAAGTGGAAACTGGTTCTACCAGTCCTTAGCGTGCTGACTTTCGGTGCAGTACGCCAAGTGATCGCGCAACACTTGGTCCCCATCCTAAGATTGTATTTCAATGTTCGGATGGTGTTTCTGTGACGGGCCCATCGTCACACATCGCCATCGCATCCAATGCGATGGCCAATCAGCTTGTAGAACACATCTACGGGTTGGCGTGGTCCGAGAACACGCCGTTAACTTTCAATACATCTCAGAGTCTAATTTGCCTGCTTCCTCACGCACAGTGTACGTAAGGTAACGGGTTGCTGAAAGCCCGTTACACCTGGTAGCACTTCGTCATCCGTCCAACGCTCACGATGAACGACATGCCGATGCCCGACGCGCCCAAGTTGCATAACATGTCGCTGGAGCACGACAGCTTCCCCCACCTCTCTTCGATCGAATGGGAGGCGTTGCAGCGCCTCGCTGCTGCGTCCGGCGAGGCTGTCATCCACACGTTGCTCACTGCTGGAACCGAAGCTCAACATCGCCTTGCCGCCCAAGAATTCATGGCGCGTGAACTCGCTGACCTCCGTCAGCGCGTGTCGACTCCCACGCTGTCCAAGAACAGGACTGACATCGTCAAGCTCGATGTCTCCTCTTTTAGTGGTGAAGGCGACGGTCGCCTCCACTTGAACAGATGGTTCTGCGAAGTGGACATCGCAGTTGAAGCCCGGCAGCTTTCCACCGAGCTCGCGCGGACTCGCTTCCTTCTTTCCAAACTGACGGGGAAGGCAAAGGAGTGGGCCCTCGGCAAGCTCGTTGTCAACCCCTCATGCTTTCCCACGATGGCTGCAATGAAATCTGACCTGCGACTCGCGTTCGAGCCGCCCCAAGACGAGAGAGTCCAGCGTTCCGCCTTCCTGTCGTTGCAGCAAGGCAAGATGTCCATGCTCGAATATATCCAGCGGGCACGTCACCTCATCTCGTGCGTCACGACACATCCGGTTGACATGGCGACCCAAGTCCATGTCTTCGTGTCCGGCATGAACACCGGCTACCAACGCTTCTACTTAACGCGGAAGTCCCCATCTACGCTGGAAGAAGATTTCGCGGTGGCCCTACGCGAAGATTACAGCGTCGCGGCATCTCAAGCTTTCGATTTCAGTCGGGCTCCGGCCTCCGAACCAGAACCAGAACCGATGGAGATTGATGTCATCCGCCACTTCGATCGTTCTCGGTCGACGACACGTCCACCGCGCTCCCCGACGCGCAGCCAACGTCCGATGAATTGCTTCCGCTGTCGCAAGCCCGGACATCGCGCGGCGGTGTGCCGCGCGCCGGCACCTGTCCTGGCACACGTCACGGTGAAGTCCGAGGTCGCCGTTCCAAAAAACGGCGACAACCAGTAGGTGCGGGGCGCCCTACTGGGAATGGAAGGAGAGATGCATCTCTGGTGGCAGAGCCTCCTCCTAGCCCTCCAGTGCTTCACGCACGACTTTTCGCCACCACTTCCGGCAGCGACTCGAGACTGATTATTCTTAGTCTTCACGTTGACGGCGCCCAGCGCCCGATCCGTGCGTTGCTGGACTCCGGCGCGACGAACAACTTCGTTCGCGCCGACAGCTTATCGGTGTTGCCGCCAACCACGCGCATCAGCGAAGGTCCAGGCCACATGGTCGTCAAATACGCTGACGGCAAGCCGCGTCGGATGCCCCGGCGCTCGGTCGCCTTTGCGTATGCATTCGACGGGTTCTCCAGCTCGGACAACTTCCTGGTGATCGAGTTGAGCGGTTCATTTGACTGCGTCTTCGGCATTCCGTGGCTAGTGCGTCACCAGCCTCACATCGACTGGTTGACCCGAACTGTTCGGCCACGCGATATCGATGTCAACGCAGTACTGGCGTACCTGAGCGGTACGCCCAACCTCTGGCCACACGTTGCTGTCATGGACCCCGACTCCATGACCACCCCTGCACTTGAAGAGAGCGATGGCCCTTCATACGCAGCCAGTGCTCCAGCAACTTGTGCCGGTCCTGAGTCGGAGCCTCAGGGCGTTTCCGATGTGGTCGAGCTGAGTATCCCACATCTTGGTGAGCAGTGGCTCCCACCTCGTGAAGCGGCTGCGCGTGAGCTCCTGCCCGCGGTTGACCAGGGGTTCCCGCGCGCAGTCGAGCTGGAGCTCCCTGTACCTGTGAATATGGTCGAGCCTGAGCTCCCGCGCATGGTTGAGCGGGAGCTCCCTGATGTTGTGGATGCAATCGTTCTACATGATTCGTGTCCCGGCGCCGATGACATACCCCGGCGCCCAACCGATCTCGCCATGATCGAGCGTGGGCTCTCATCGCCAGATGTACACCGTCCTGTTCGTCGTCGTAGTCGCCGTAACCCCCGCCGACCTCGTGCCCCGTCGCAGGACTCCGTCCTGAGCGAGTTCGAGACTATCACAGTCCTTGCTGGACACGCCTCGAACGATCTTCCGCGTCGCCGTGAAGTTGAGGTCGCACGTCCACCGTGCGACGCCGCAGAAATTACAAAGCTCCCCGGTCTCTCTTGGAAACATTTCCTCCGCGACTTAAAGCACGGCGACGTCGAACAAGTATGCTTACTCGTAGCTAGCGACGCCGCGTCCAACGCGACTGTCCACGTCGACACCGATGCCTCAGCGCCGGACCCCCAGACGCGCCCCACGGGCGCCGAACCGAAAACAGCCCGTGAAGCGCGCTACGCTGCACAATCGTTACCGGCCCTCGAAGCTTCCGGTAACCCTGTGGCCCCTCTCGTCCGTGAATTCATCGACATCTTCCCCGACAAGGTTCCGGCGGCCCTTCCGCCGGATCGCGGAGTCCGATGTGGTGTAGTAGAACACACAAATATCGTCAGATGTGGATTCCTTACACAAACCACAACGAATCGCCGAGTTAGGTCGGCGGTTTGTATGGCCTGCGCAGAGGGTGGTCCCCTCGCGGTCCGGCCCTTCCGGGACAGACGAGTGGCTCGTTTCCACTCGGTTCCGACTAACCAAGTCAGATCACTTCCGAGACTCCGCCGAGTTTGGTTCGGCTGAGCTCGTTCACAACCCTGTGCCCTCCACCAAAGGATGGACGACGGCGCGCGAGCGCTTTTACAGGTCACCGAGCGCAGAGGCTGCTCAGCTAGAAGTGTTACGGCACCCGGGCTATCCGACGTACCGGCCCGCTGAGTATGCGGGACTTTCTTTCGCGCGTAGCGAGACTTTGTCCTACCCGGACCGACCTAATCTCTTGGCGCTACCAGTCAATACTCTACAAGCTATGCCTCTCGAGTATTGACGGCAGGCATAATCCAGCCCTATGCAGGGACTTACCGGAAAAGTGTACACTTGTCTTGGACTAGGAAAATTCTGCTCTGTTATCTTCTGGGAGCCTCTTCGGCTCCTCCTATTTAATCCTATGCTTCTCATACAAATATCTAGTGAAAGAGTTGTTTGGCAACTCGGCAATGCTGACATTTCCAGAAACCAACGAGCAGATATGCGTTCTGAGCGATGCATCTGATTACGGGTATGGACTTGTGGTCTCGCAAGTGAATCAGTGGCAGGATGATGTGCCTAACCACGAACAGCACCATGAACGTCTCGTGTGTGTAGGAGGTAAATGCAAGGGTTCGTCCCGTAAATGGAGTCTCATTGAGAAAGCGACCTATCCTATCGTACCCGCGTGCGAAAGACTGGAGTACCTGCTACTGCGACCACAAGGCTTTAAAATTAACTGCGATCACCGAAATATCGTATATCTGTGTGACCCAAACAAAGAGCAAACGAAACACGCACGGACAAGCTGCTACGCTGGTCTACGAAGCCACTAGAGTATAGATACTCAATCGAGC